GAGGCATTTCAATGTCCGAGGAACTCCACAACAAAATGAAGTTGCAGAAAGATTAAATTGAACCTTGCTTGAGAAGGTTAGATGTATTTTGTCTCAGTCGGGTTTGAGTAAGTCATTTTGGGTAGAGGCAGTTACTTATGCATGTCACATTATCAACCGGTTACCCTCAGCTGCTGTTCAGGGTACGACACCAATGGAGGTATGGATTGGAAAATCTTATTCTGATTATGACTATATCTGTAATTTTGGTTCACCTGCTTATTTTTATGTAATTGAAAATAAACTTGATCCTAGAGCCAAAAAAGCTATCTTTCTTGGTTTTAATAGTGGTGTCAAAAGTTATAGGTTATGGTGCCCAGAGATGAAGAAACTTGAAATCGGCAGAGATGTGACATTTGATGAAGAAAGTATGTTCAGAGACTCTGAGAAGAATGTGAAAGATGTCAAATAGGTGGAGCTTGAGAAAGTTGCCTCTAGTACTTCAAATCCTATTTCCACTGATGTCGAAGCCACTACAAGTGAAGAAGTGGGAGACCAAAAGGATGTTGAAGAAGTTGAACTTGAAGATTCTACTCTAGATGAAGAGCAAGTTTCACCTTAAGAGTCTATTGTGCTTTTGGAATTTGGCCAAGGTGGAGATTGTTGAACATGTGGCCAAATTTCAATGGGCCCTTATGTTTCCCAGCAGCCCAATTGAATGGCCCCTTTTATTTAGCCCTTGTGAGAGCCACGTGAGGTGGCCTAGGGTTTTAATTGGCAGCAACAACTGCCTTTGTTTGAGAGCAGCTAAGGAAAAGAAAAACGGTGCCGCAACCCCACTTTGAAGAGAAGAAGAAAGTGCTCTTCTCCTTGGCTAGCAATCATCCATCAAAGTATTAGTTGTTGTAATAGCTTTGAGCTTTGTATAGAGAAGAAATTAATCACTATATTTCTTTCTCTATTTGTTTCTTTGGTGAGTGAGAGCTTTTGAGTGTATTGGGGTTTTGGTTGTGAGATTGCCAACACTTTGTAAACTCCCATTTGGTTGATAGTGGATTATTGGGTGAGCTCCTACTGCTCCAAGAACATACTCCAGTTACACTAACTGTTGAGGAACCTCGTTAAAATCTTGGTGTCTTTTTCTATTTTTTGTTCTTGCATTTCATTTGATATATTTCATGTGGGTTAGCTTGAGTTGGTTCCAATTGATTTGGTGTTATCCTAACACAACAATCTAAGCTTACTGACCACACAATTCGGGCCCTTGAAATTTGATCGAATGGCTAAAGTTATTATAACTTTTAATGGGAGCCCCTGTTTTAACTGTTTGATCAAATTTCAAGGGTCCAGATTGTGTGATCAGTAGGCTCAGATAGAAAGGGATCCGAAGAGGATCCCTTTCCTTAATTTATTGCAAATGATCTAAATTAGGAGAGTGTTCATAAAAAATGTTATATATCTGTCTAGTCCTAACTCGTAATTAGGTTGCATTATTTTAAGTTAATAATGATCCCCACCCCCGGGAAATTTGGATTATAACAAAAAATTGATGTGAAAGTACTAATATACCCTATTTAACCATATGTGTCTACAATGTCTCGAGCTTTTCTTTTCATGTCAAGTGTTGTCGTTGCATTGCTTTGCACTCGCACTGCAATGGAGACACAAGCTTCTTTCTTTTTATTCATCAAACATAAGGACAAGTTGCAGTAGCACCTTCTTGCCTATAATTTCCTCTTCAACCAACAACGATGCCATTTCAACCAACAGTGATACGGAGTAGGAGGAGTTGGTCAGGGCTTCTTGTAGAAGCCTCTTGTTCCTAAATTCAAAGCCCATGATTTGGTCCACGGCTGCCACGGATTGCTGCGTTTTTTGCAATGGTTGGACCATATGATCCAGGATGGAAATCATCATTTGCGGATTTTTTTGTACTACTTTTTAAATTTTAAATTTTTATGGGTTTTTGTTGGGTTTGATGAGACTGGAACTTGGAGACTGCCAGACTAGTATGAACTTGGTTTTGAGTTTGAAGTACATCTTTTTGGATTTTCTGGAAACCTTATTTTCAGGGTATATTAGTACTTTCATCTCAACTTTTGGTTATAATTATCATAAACTTGAAATGGTAGCTATAATTCTATATGGGATCTAAATTATGGTTATTTTTCAAAATTACCACACCCCGACCCCCTTATACAAACTGGTCAATAATTAGAACTTGTTTTGGTCAGCCACCATCATTCCAATTTTTTGTTAACCCGATTGGGCCAGTTGCGCTAATAATTGCCTTGTGAAATTTAATTCCACGAAATATATATTATTTGAATCATACAATATTTCTAGCCATTTAGAACTTGTTTGGAAGTATTTTAAAATGATTGAAAGCGTTTTTAGAAGAAATATTTTTTGGAATCTATCCTTAATAAAAATGCAAATAAATCAAGCCACAACCTGATTTACTAGAAATATTTCCAAACGAGCCCTTAATTAAACAAATTAACTAGAAACCGCGATTAAACTTATCACAAATGTCTGAAATAAGGAAAAACAGTGTGTTTATTATTTAATTATCTTAGTTCAAGCGGGATGTGTGTGCGCATTAAAAATGTGCCCGCCGACAGCTTGGAGTATAAAACCAGGCTGCCAAGACAACGACTATATATTCTCTATCTTATAGATTCTTTTTTCCTTTCTAAATTCAATGAATCTTATCTATATATACAGGCGTTATTAGAAGTATCGACAATATTTATTTAAGCAACATGATGTATAAGACTAAGTACAATATGTACTAATATTTCTTTGCTCAAAAAACATGTAATAATATGCTATTTGGTGAGCAATTATTCATTGATAATTTTAAGATTAAATACTAATACTAATGTTTTGATTTAGGTACATGTTATAATGTCAACCGTAATAAAAATTTAAGAGAATGGTGTGGAAGAAGTCAACGATACAAACGCCCCTCCATGCTAAACAATTATTTAGATCCTAGTTTATAATGTTACCTAGCGCCCCAAATAAAGTAATGGCCTAAAACAAACAATAATACCCCAAATATTGTAACTAGTTATTATTGGATTCAATATTAAGGATGGAGAAGAAATGGATGTATTTTTAATATTTTAATTTCAACTCATATCAGATTTAAGAATTGTGTGACTATTAGTTCTTTGTCGCATTAGGTGACCAACAAAGTGACAACCAAATAAATAGAAGAATTTATTATAAAATTTATTTTAAGAGATATTTTGGTTCAAGAAACTCATAAATAACAGAGTTAGCTGGTATATTAGACTTAAGACTTGATTTGGAGTTGGTGTTTTTGTTTAGAAGAGTCAGAAGGGCACACCACAGACACACACACACACACACACACACAAAAACAGTTTCAAGTAAACACAATTACCGGTGGCTTGTTTAAGAGTTTTAGATTTGATTGGTTTGGTTGGAAACCACATAGACAAAATTCAAAGTAGTCATAGTTGCCGGCGGCTTGTTCTAGAGACTTATTTGATCAGCAAATGGTTTTGTGATAATATTAGTAAGCGTAATGTTATTGAGATCAAATTTGTAAATCAAAATTTTATAAACTAAATAATGACTGGTTGTTGATAATTAGATTATTACTCAAGTGTTTATTTCTTAATGGTGACATATAATTTGGTTTGCAAATTTGATTTAAAATTTGGTCTCCCTACCACTATCATATTAGTAATAGGAATGTTTACTTTTTTGTGACAAGTAAAGTGTACCTGAGGAAGCAACCATCATAGATGACACGACCACCGTTGGCAGCGGAGCAGTTGCGAATTTGAGACACGGCAGCGGTGAAGCAAGCAACGCAGTCAGCAGCGGAGAGGTAGTTCCTACACTGCACCATAGCGTATACAGGGTTAGAACCCCTGACCTGCTGTGCCGTCGCAAAGTGGCTGCTGTTTTCCATCAGTTGCGTTCCGAGGTCGGAAAATGTGGCGTTGAGGTTGGTATAGAACTCGGACGCGTTGGTGACATTGTATTGGCTGCAGCCCCTGTTTAATAGATTGATCTGTGGGTCTGCATCAACGGCTGTGATGATCAGACAAGTCCTTGGCCACCATAGCGTTGTAATTGTTGCTGCTAATAGCATACACAGCTGATGTATCTTTCTGTTCATCTTCAATTATCTCTGCTTATGCCTTTATCTACGATTAAGGACAAAGGATGGCTTCGTTCATCAAAACATTGATATGCATAATATGAAGACTGGCGGGTGACCTATAATATATATTGGGGTCAACGGAAGCAAAGACATGCTAAAATATCATATCATCATCATCCATGACGCAATGCATTCGTATCTCTCTCCACTCCACATAAGCGGGCCCTCATTGGATTAGAGAAAGGAACTTAGGCCATCTCCAACCTAAGGAAGGTGAGAGGGCTCTCTTTAGCCCTATAGCCATCCAAGAAACTATATTTTAATGAACAGTGTTAGGTCATATTTCATACCATCTCCAACCAAAGGGGCCAAAGGGGCCAAAGGGCCATATGTCAAACATAGTCCTGTGACTAAAAATCATCTCCAACCGAGGGAACCAAAAGGTCATAGACGAAACATAATTTATTATTTTAATTGAATTAACATACTTAATTAAATTAAACTACCATATTAAAATAAGATTTTCGGACATATTTGAAGATTATTGAAAGAGGTGGCCATTTGAAAATTATTGAAAAAAAATTAAAGGACAGATTATTAGAAGAAAATAGAATGTGAAGAATTAAAATAAAATGAGGTAAGATAGTATAAAATGGTGAAAAGTATGTAAGAAATGGTGTAGGAAAAAAATTAGAAATTAAAAAAAAAATTGTCCAAAAAGAAAAAAAAAGTGGGCTTAGCTAAAAAAAATTCAACCAAAAAACAAAGAAAAAAAGTGGGTTGGGCTCATCGGGCTGGCTGGCTGGCCGACCGGTTTGTTAAACCCCACCCTCAAATATTTGTAAATTTTACATTTTCCCTAAAGCTTATGTAATTTTTACAATTCGGTCCCCTTATCCTTTACCCAATCTGAATCCACTTTTTGGATTCCCTCAAACCTCTCCTCCTCTCACAACTTGCCATGTAAGCACTCAACTCCCTCTCTCTTCTCTCTCTTTTCCCGAGCCTCTCTCACAGCTCATTGTCTATCCCTTTCTATCTCACTCACTCACCTCTCTCTCTTGCACTCTCTCTTTCCTGGCGACACCCACATCCACGCACACCCGAGGAGGCACCCCACGACACCACCACCCTCGAGGACCTCCCTTCCCTTTCCCTCGTCTCCATGGAGCTCGGTGAAGCCCAGAAACCTAGAGAAGTCCCCAACAAGCCATGGTACTTAAACCCAGTTTCTGGTCGATTTCGTCCTTTTCACGGTAAAGCGAAGGTAACAATCTTTTCCCCTCATCTCTACCTTCATTTTAGTACTTAGATTGTAGGTTAGGGTGACCAAACGACGGTGATCAGAGCTCGAGAAGCTTCGGCCTTCTTCTCCGACGAGAAACGGGTCGAATGACCCAAGCTCAGTGAACCCAGGCCCTTTGGGCCATTTAGGACTCGGACCTTAGGCCTGTTAGCCATTTAAACCCAACCCAAATCTTTTTATTTTTACTTTCATTTTATTTGTTTAAAAACTCAAAAACCCTTGGGTTGGGCCTTCAAGCCCAGGCTTGTTGAACCCCAAAGGCCAGGGCCTTCCGCCTATTGAACCCAGAACCTAGAACCCTTCTCCCTTGGGTCGGATTAACAGCCCATTGACCCAAAGCTCAAGCCCACTGGCCCAAAAGCCCTGGCCCATACTCGGTTCAAAACCCTACCCCAGCCGCGTGTGGTCGACGAATTTTTCAGCGACCCACGACGACGCGAATATTTTGGAATATCATATTTTATCAAACTGATGTTCTTTGTAGTATATATGATGGATGATTATATGCTATTTAGAACACGCTTTTACACACTTCTTTATAGTATAGATAATGGATGACTTTATACTATGAAGATGTTTTGAGATATATGTACCTATGTTTGGAAAGACTATGTTAAATAGTTTTATGCCTATCTAGTGGTCACTGTTCCGCCAACGGGTGAGGGATATGGTTGTTGGCTGCGAGCTGGGAGAAAAAATCTCTAGCTTCGAGCCAAGAGACATGGAGCTGGCATTGGGCCGGGAGAAATAATCTCTGGCTTCAGGTGCAGAGACATAGTAATTGGCATTAGGCCGGAAGATATTGTTATTGGATACCATTATTTAGCCCACTATATACGAGATATGTTTTATGTAGGTTTTATGGCATGCTAGGGTTTTCAAAAAACCTACTACATATTATGCTATATATGTTTTCATAAAACTTTGAGGGTTAGTATGTTGATAACTGTTTCAGTATTATATATATATATATATATATATATATATATATATATATATATATATATATATATATATATAAAAACTTGGTCCATTTATGTTTGTTTTGCACCCTTAAAGACTTAGGAACGAGGAATACGATCCAAGATACAAGGCATTCCCCTACTGGTGATACTGCGTCATCCTCTTTGCTTTGACTTCTATTGTAATAGCACATCTTTATTTTATCTTCCGCTTGTATTCTGAATTAGATGTATGCCTTGAACATGTCATGCATTATCATTATATTCATAGTTGGCAGTTGAATATTATTATGGTATTTTGTAAGACGTATATATTAGTATATTATTTTTGTAGTTCGAACGAATTTTATAAGCATGTTTTACATGTTCTTAGCATATGCATTCATTAAATGGCTTGCATCACCATCGAGTGTCGGTCAGCACGTGGCCATCCCAATGTCCCTAGGACATCGGGATCGGGGCATGTCACGGTTGGCCTGATAGGTTGGTTTTGGCCCTGTGTGGCCCATAAGCCATTTGGCCTAGCCCTCAGTTGGACACGGTTTTCATGTCATTTCGGGCTATTTTTATCCCTATGGCCACCTTCAACTGAAGGAGAGCCAAAGGGCTCTCTTTAGCCCTATAGCCTCCAAGAAATTATATTTTAATGAACAATGCCATGCCATATTTCATACCATCTCCAATCGAAAGGGCCAAAATGTTATATGCCAAACATAGCCCTGTGACAAAAAACTATCTCCAACCGAAGGGGCCAAAATGTGAAACCCCTTCTCTAATTTGTATTATTTTCATATTGTTGGACTTATGAAATTACCAATTTACCCTTGAGTTGACTTTCGTTGACCATCTCGTTGAAATACATATTTTAAATTTTATTAATTTATTCTTATCGTACTCATCTCCACAAAAGCATTGGCGTGAACAGATTCGAAATTGGTTTTGTAACAAAGATTCTACGTTCGAAATGCCCAACGTTTTCAAATATTTTCGTGTATTGTCCTTAGTGACCTTGTATTGTGAACCACTGGGACCCACAATGAAAAGCTTATCCCCTTGCTTTTCCCTTTTGTCCCGTGCATCTTCCCTCTTCCCTTTTCTATTTCTATTTCTATCACTATCTCTTTCTTTATAGTCTCACTTTCATTTTCTCTCATCCCTCTCTCTAACCTTCCCTCTCCAGGAAGGCAACACAACACACAACAAACAACAACAACGACAACAGTCCCACCACCGCCCAAACCAAGAGCACCATGAGCTTCGTCTCATCCTCACAAGTCTAGAACACCTAAACTCACCTCGAACTTACTTTCGGGACATAGCGGAGTATGTGAGTAGATGTTTAATCTACCAACAGGTTAAAGTAGACAGACAAAGACCTAGGGGACTGATGCAGAATCTTCCAATACCAGTTTGGAAGTAGGAGGATATCATTATGGACTTTGTGTACGAATTGCCTAGAACACCGTCAAGGTACGATGGTATTTGGGTAATTGTCGATTGGCTTACCAAGACCGCTCATTTATTACCAGTTCGACAAACATATTCGTTGGAGAAATTGGCAAAATTATTCGTCGTTAATATTGTTCGTCTACATGGTGTACCTGTCTCCATCGCGTCAGACAGAGATCCCAGATTTACTTCCAGGTTTTGGAAAGCCTTTAATGCCGCTATGGACACTCAATTATTGTTCAGCACTACTTATCATCCATAAACTGTTAGTCCGAGCGGACGATTCAGACTTTGGGGGACATGTTGAGAGTGTCTATATTACAGTGGAAAGGTAGCTGGGATAACTATTTGCCGTTGGTGGAGTTTGCTTACAATAATAGTTATCACTCAAGTATTAGTATGGCACCTTTTGAAGCACTTTATGGGAAGATGTGTAGGACGCCATTATGTTGGACAGAGGCAAGAGAAAAGTCGTTGGTGGGACCAGAGATTGTTGATACCACCAATGCTAATATCCAACTAATTAAGGAAAATTTGAAAGCATCTCAAGACCGACAGAAAAGCATTGCAGACAAACACTCCAAGGATCGTGAGTTTACAGTGGGCGACTTTGTATTCTTGAAGTTGTCTCTCTGGAAGGGTGTTGTTCTTTTTGGTAAGCGAGGAAAGCTGAGTCCTTGATATGTTGGTCCCTATCAGATTATTGAGAGAATTGGTACAGCTGATTATAAGTTGGAGCTACCACCGGAGTTGTCACTGATCCATAACATTTTCCACGTTTCCATGCTTCAGAAATATGTACCAGATTCCTCTCATATCATCCAGTTAGAGCCATTGGAAGTAAATCCAGATACTAGCTATGTGGAAGAACCAGTGGCTATCCTTGACAGACAGGATAAGGTGTTGCGGAACAAAGTTATTCCTTTGGTAAAGGTACTGTGGAGGAACCATGCAGTCGAAGAAGCTACTTGGGAAACTGAGGAATCAATGCAGAACCAATATCCATTTCTTTTCGTGTAAATTCATAATTTCAAGGACAAAATTTCTGTAAGGGGGTAGATTGTTACACCCACCCCCACATTTTATTTACATTTCTATTTCCCCCTAGAACATGTTTAAGTCTATCAATTTGGTCCCTTATCTCATTTAATCCTAGCCTTTGATCTAGATTCCCTATTTCTTCTAAACTACCAAGTGGCAAGTCCCTATCTCTCTTCTCTTCCCTCTCTTCCCGAGCACTCCCTCTCAAACATCTCTCTCTCACGGGAATTCTCATCTCTCCCTTTCTCTCTTTGCATCGTGACCAACCAAACAAACCTGCATACAGCTCCAGTGTAGACCATCATCATCATCTCCCTTACATCATCTCTCTCTCTCCTTCCGTTGCAGCAAGATCGGGAAACCCAGAGAAAAGACCTCTAGCGATTTTATCCATTTATTTTTCCAGCTAGGTAAGTTTAAATTCCTTTTAAAATCACCATTGTTGTTGTTGGGCGTTATGTGTTGAAATCTACATTATTTTTCCAAGGTTTTGAGGACGAAAATGGTGCGGGGGAAGCTTACCCACACTTTCTGGTGAACCCGTGACCTTCGAAGGTTTTTTGGAACGCTCAAGGCCGTTCACGGCAAAGCTAGGGTATGAAAATACTCCGCTATCCTCCTTCTTCATTTTGGTACATAGTTTGGATGTTGGTTTACATGTTCGCCATCGGCCGGAGCCATAGCAGCTCCAGTGTTCTTCCTCGAGCACCATGCAGGCCATCTAGGCCATTTCAGAACACCTACGGGCCTTAGCCCATATTTGGACTAGCCCACTTCCTTTTAATTTCAGCTAATTGTTTTAAAAGTCCAAATAGGCATTGGACTGGTTTTATTCAAGTAGGTTAAGCCCGGTTTTTCTTTTGGCTATTAGGCCTGCGGGCCAAGTGTATATGGGCTGAGTGTGGGTGTGTGTGTGTGTGCCCGTGTGGGTGTGTGCGTGTGTGCGTGTATGGTGAGTGCGTGTGAGTGTGTGTGGTGCACGTATGTATGTATGTGTTATGTCGTATGCGTATGTGTGTGTGCTGGCATGTGTATGGGTGTGGGTTTGGGCTTAAGCCCTAAACCACCCCCCTTTTGTTCCTAAACTATCCAAACCCAAAACCCAATAGGTCCTAATCTTATTTAACCTAAACCTAAACCCTAATCCGAATCTAAACCCAATACCCATTTCCATTTCTTAAAATTCTATAATTGGGTAGTTTGATAAATTGTACATTTTTGTGCTTAGGTGAAGTTGCTAGTGGGGATTTCCTTAATCCTTTTCTGCACAATTATGCTGCTACGGAGTATCTGTGAGTGGACCCCTTCTACAATTTTGCATAATTTTATAGTTTATTTGCATAAATGAAATGCATGCCTTACGAGTTTATGAACTAATTTTATGTTAAGCATGTTTATTGAAATGTTGATTATCGTCTCGTTATTTTGTAAGGAATTAATTGTTAGTCTATATTGAGCTATATTTTAATATATCGTATTTTCTATAAAAACCATGAATTGGTATATTATCTTATGGATGACGATAGGATGCTAGAACATGTTTTAGAAACCCCTCTTTATAGTATAGACGATGGATGACTTTATACTATGAAGTGGTTATTTATGAGAGGCGTAACTATTTGTGCGTACCTAGTGGACACTATGCCGCCTGCGGCTAGGATCTGGTGTTGGCAGATAGGCAGGGAGAAATAACCCCTAGCTACGAGCTGAGGGACATAGAGTAGGCATTGGGCCGGGAGTTGGTAATCTCTGGCTACGGGCGCAGAGACCACGATGCTGGCATAGGGCCGGGAGTTATATTTGTTCAGTGATCTTACTGGCAGCACACCGCGCTTACTAGACGATCTGTGAGACGTTTAATGTTTTGATTTCCGTGATGTTATTCTGCAATATGTCTTTAGAGTTGTTTTTGGCATGCTAGGGTTTCAATAAACTTATCATTTATTATGCTAGTAGTTTTCTTTATATAAACTGTGGGGGTTAGTATCTTGATAACTATTTTACTATTATTGTACATATATGAACTTGGTCCACTCACCTTTGTTTTGCGCCCCCATTCAGGTCTTAGAAACGAGGACTACGACATAACGTACAAGGTATTCCCCTACCAGTATCAGTCTATCACTCACTTGGGTGATACCTTATAATGATCTTTCCTTTTGTGATCTTGAATTAAAATGCATTTTGTGCACTCTAGACATTTCCTAAAACTTTGTTTATTAGTTTTAGATTGTAATGATTATTCATGTATATTTCGTCCTAATCATTACTCTTGTATTCAATAAATGGCTTTCGTCACCCTCGGGTGTTGGCCAGCACGTGCCTATCTTGGTATTCAGGGAATATCGGGATCGGGACGTGTCAAGGATACCTCGGTGTGGACATATGTTGCTTGATGCCATACTTTTGGAAGAACTTCACCATATCTTTGCCCATGAATTACGGACCATTGTTAATGATGATGGACTAAGGGATGCCAAATCGGCAAATGATGTTCCTCCATATGAAAAGCTCTATGTCCGTCTGAGTTGTGGTTATCATGAGCTCTACTTCCACCCATTTGGTGAAGTAATCGGTTGCCACAATCATCATGCTTCTATCCCCAGTAGCAGGCAGCATAGGTCATACCAGGTCGATTGCCTATTGCTTGAACGACCAAGGACTCGTCTATGGGTGTAGTTCGCTACCAAGTAGTGCTGGTACTAGTTGGTAATGGTCGCACTTTTGTACTAACTCCTTAGCATTTTGATGCATGGTAGGCCAATAGTAACCTGCATTAAGAGCTTTCTGTTATAAGAATCAGCCTCCAGAGTGGTTTCCACAAACACCTTCATGGATTGAGCTTAAAACCTTCAAGTTATCGGGAGGCGTTAGGCAGCCGAGATATGGTCAGGTGTAAGATCTTCGGATAAGAATGCCATTTCACATGCAGTAGCGTGTTGCCTTTATTTGGAGCTTTCTAGATTTCAACCTTTCCATGGAGAGTGTGTCATTGACCAGGTAGTCTATAATAGAACTTTGCCAGTTGGGAGTTATACTAACCCGTGACACCTTGGCTGTCTACTTAACCTCTATGCTTGGTTTATCTAGATACTTCACCAGAATCGAGCGTTTGAGTTGGCAGTCAAGGGTAGAGCCTAAGTCGGCTAGCGCATCAATGTGGGCGTTGTCTGCCTGCGGAACTTGAGTGAGAATGTAAGTTCAAAATGCCTCAAGCTGCTCACATACCTTCTATAGGTATTGCGTCATCCTCGGATGTTTTGCCATGGACTCCCTAGTAGTCTGGCCCATGATTAGCTGGGAATCTGAATGAATTGCGAGCTTTTTCACCGCCAAGTCTTTTGCCATTTGGAGGCCTGCTAGTAGGGCCTCGTACTCTGCTTCATTGTTAGATGCTTTGAAGCCTAGAGTGATTGCCTACTCAAGTATTGAACCGTCTGGGGTGACAATGACCACGCCTACTCTTGAGCCTTTGTAGTTGAATGTGTCGTCGACATGCAAATACCAGAAGTCTCCATCGGATGGAGCAGGTGCAGGCAAGGTGTGCTCAGCTGCTTTCGGGGCGTCACTAGGCCGCTTTATTGCATCATCTAGGCTAAGCGTGAATTCCATTATGAAGTTTGCCAAGGCTTGGGCCTTTATCATCGTGCGGGGTTGAAAAACTAAACCGTATTGGCCAAGTTCCAATGCCTACTTCATCACTCGTTAAAAAGCATCCAGACCATGTAGGATTGATCGTATAGGATATTGAGTCATGACGATGACTGTATGAGCTTGAAAGTATGGTCTGAGCTTCCGAGCCATAACAACTAACGCCAAAATTAAGTTTTTGATCCTCGGATATCTTGTTTCCGGATCGATAAGAACTTTAGAAGTGTAGAATACCGGTAGTTGGGCCCCCAACTCTTCTCGTATGAAGGCAAAACTCACGACTACTTCTGAGACTTCCAAGTAGATGTATAAGTCTTCCGCTACTTCAGGCTTTAGTAAGGGAAATGATGTAAGATACTTTTTCAGGTCTTGGAAATCTCTTTCGCACTCTCCATCCTATTTGTCATGTTGTGCCCTCTTGATGGCCTTGAAAAAGGGCTTGCATCGATTAGTAGACCGTAAAAGAAAACGATTAAGGGTAGTTGCTCGTCCGGTCAAGCTTTGGATCTCCTTTAAGGTAGTGGGAGATTTCATTTATAGCATCGCTCGGATTTGCTTGGGATGTGCTTCGATTCCTCGTTAGGCTACTAGGTACCTTAAAAATCTGCCTGAAGATACTCCGAATGTGCATTTGGTGGGGTTAAGCTTCATCTTGTACTTTCTAATGATGTTAAAAGTTTCCACTAGGTTTCGGATGTGGTCTGATTGCTGCTTGCCCTTTACCATGATGTCGTCGACATAGACTTTCATGGTTATCCCAATTTGCTTCTGGAACATCATGTTTACTAACATTTGGTAAGTGGCTCCGACGTTCTTTAGGCCAAAAAGCATGACCTTGTAGCAGTAGGTGCCTCGCTCGATCACGAACGTGGTTTTCTCCTTGTCGGGCTTATACATGGCTATTTGGTTGTAGCCAGAGTATGCGTCCAAGAAGCTGAGCATCTGGTTCTCGAAAGTTGAATCTACTAATAAATCGATCCAAGGAAGTGGATAAGGATCTTGTAGGCATGCTTTGTTGAGGTCAGTGTAGTCTTTGCAAACCCTCAATTTACCATTCTATTTCTTAACGACTAGCATGACATTGGCAAGCCATACTGTGTATGCTACTTCTTCTATGAATCTGGCCTTCAGCAGCTTGTCAATTTCCACCTCAATGATCGCTACTTGTTCGGGTGCGAAATATCTTCTCTTTTGGATCACTGGTTTGGCATAGGGGTCGACGTGCAGCTTGTGGCAAGCTATCTCGGGATCGATGTCGGGCATGTCGGAAAGTGACCATGCAAAGACGTCTCGATTTTCCTTAAGGAAAGTCGTGAGTTCTTCCTTTTCGGCTGGGCTTAGAGGTGAGCCGATTTTAGCTGTTTTTTGGCAATTGGGGATCAAGAATGATGTCTTCGACGTCTTCTTCGGGTTTCCATCCTATCTCGTCTGCTTGGGTGCCATCTTCTTGATCAGCTTGTTGTAATTGCTATTTGGTAGCTTCTTCGTCCATTTTGACCTTGGTAGCCTCTACGGGGGTAAAGGTTCTCTTCTTTGACTCCTTCAATACTTGCACAGTGCTTCATCAAGATGTGGCCTGGTCAAACTTGATATCTCCAACTCCTTCTCATTGGATATGGAAACGGATCTTTTGATACTTGACGAAAGTGACGGCATCCAGCTTGATCAACCAAGGTTTCCCAAGAATCCTATTATAGAGAGATGGGTCGCTTACGATCGTGAACGTCTACTTTGAGACAACTGGTGGTGTTTTCATGTCAAGTGTAATGTGGCCAATGGCAGTCAAGGTGTGCCTGTTGAATCTAGTGAGTACCTTTGCTCAGCGTATGATTGTCATTTCCAGGCCCATCTTCTAAATGACTGAGAGTTAAAGTAGATTGATTGTACTTCCATTGTCGACCATCATTCTGTCGACTATAGCATAGGCTAGTTGGACATATACTACTAGTATGGGTGGGTTTAAAAAATCGAAAACCGAACCGAACCAAACCGAAAAAAATCAAACCAAAAAAAAAAAGAACCAAAAATATCAAACCGAACCGAACCGAACCGAATCTGGCCAGTTCAGTTTTGGTTTTTGAGGTTCAAAAACCGAACCGAACCGAATCAATATATATTTAATTACTTTTTTAAATATTTATAAATAGTTTAGTCATACAATAATAACAAAACATAACCTGTTGTCGCCTTCGTTTCAAGGAAACTTTTCAAGCTGGAGCGCATGGGTTTGAACCCTCATGCCTCCAGGATTTTGGAAATGTTTTTTAATTTTTATGAGAAATAAACAAGTTTAACCCTAGCCACTGTAGTAGCAGCCGCACGCACCTCACCTTTTCTATTTTTCATTCCCTTTGTCTCTCTCTCGTTCCTTGCCTCCAAACTCCCTCCATGTCCATGCCTCCAATTTCTCCATAACCCGCATCCTTCTTTCTATTCCAAGCTTCATATTTGTGAGACCTTCCATGTCCATGCCTCCAATTTCTCCATTCTTCTCGATTCTTCTCGATTCTTCTCCATAACTTGTATCCTCCTTTCTATTCCAAGTTTCATATTTGTGAGAAGCAACTTCTTGCATCTTCCTTTGTATTGCAGCTTCTTCTGCCGTGTCGAGTCTCGACAACAAAAGGTTGGTCTCATACTCTCACTTCTCTGTGTTTAATTTTCTATTCTATTTATCTGTCAAATTGGTTCTGATTGGACAAAGATTAGGGAAAGATTCATACTATGGCCTTTACAGATTTTCAATTATTAATTTGCATTTTCTGTCGACAAAGATTAGAGGGATTCATACTTTGCATTTTCTAGATTTATATATACAAGTTGCTTGATGCTTAATTATTCCATTGTTGCCTTACTTACAATGATTAGGACTTATTATCCTGAATGGGATACTAAAGGATTTACCTGGTGGCCAAAAATGTTTCAGAAATTGTATTTGCTGTTCTGTGGACACTTAAATATCTCATTTGTTCGAATTTCAAGGGAAAGATCATTCTTGTTTGCGTTTTTGTACTAAACAATTAAGACCTTATTTGTAGCAACTGTTTAGGTGACAATATGTTCGAATTTGAAGGGAAAGATCTTTCCTGTTTCCGTTTTTGTAATCAACAAATAAGACCTTATTTGTCACGGAGGATTATAGAGTGTAAACTTAGTGTTGCTTTTGAAACTGGTGTTGCTTTAGACTAGTTCTAATATATAATCTGCTAATAGCATTATAAATTGATGTTGCTTTTGAAACTAGTTCTATTGAAAAGTATGTCGTAATTCCGGCCACTAAGCAAACTTTCGTTTGTTTATTTTTACTCATTGCCAGGCTTTCGTTAATAGCATTATAAACTGCCTTTCTTCATTAGTTTGATTTAGGTTGATTAGGTGAGGACGTTGCAATTAAGATAGTGACTGTTAAGGTTTTGTTTATGACTTCAATTTAATAATGTGCTTGATAGCTAGGGTGATTTACCATTAAGGTTTTGCTGCATTATTTCACTCTGCATATTTCATATGCTTACTAGTTTTCTACTGCTACTGACAGTGAATTACATTTTTTATTAACATTTACTTTTGTATAAGTTTGTAAGACTAACTACTATCCTCTTATTATTTTAGGTGTGAAAGACTTGAACTTTGGAATGTTTAATTTAGGTGTGGAAGACTTGAACTTTGATGTTTGTTTTAAGTTTGGACTTTTGGAAGATTTGAACTTTGATGTTTATTTAACTATGGACTTTGGAAGACTTGGTTGTAATTGAAATTTGGAATGCTTTTTTTCATTGTCTTTGATTCTATTAGAAATTTGAAATTTGGAATGCTTATTACAAAGTGGTTGCAAGTTGGTTCTCTTAGAAATTTTATTTGCTATTGGGAAGATGAGAAAAAAAAAAACCGAACCGGGCCGAAACCAAACCGAACACAAATCGACAGAAAATCAAACCGAACCAAACCGAACAGTGATTTCGGTTCGGTTTTCGATTTTGGAAAAAACCAAACCGAACCCACCTCTAACTACTAGTGCGTCATCGTGTGGAAAATCGACGCCTTCTGCATCCTGCTCGGTGAAGCTAATGATGGGTCCAGGTTGGATGTCAACTGCTTGGACTTGTGAGACTAGAATAGCCTTTTCGAACTCAGCGAAGATGCCATTGATTCAAATCGTCTTGGTTGATGGTTATTCGTCTTCATCTGCATTTCTTCTAAGCTGTGCAGCTAGCTTGTCTAAGTATTTGTCGACCTTGCTTTCTTTCACGAGCTTCTCTAGGTAGTTCTTCCAAATTTAGTAGTCGTCGGTTGTGTGACCGAGACCTCGGTGGAATGCGCAATATTTTATGTGATCCAACTTGGAAGTATCACTCTTTGATTGTTTCGGCAGCTTGAACCATGGTTCATTCTTGATGTCGCGAAGGATTTAGTGGATCGAAATTGAGAACTTGGAGTGGTTATTGGTCGTCAAGCCTTCTTTGGTCGTGGGTCAGTCCCTACGCTTAGCCTCCTGCCTACTTTTGTTAAACTGCTTCTCATCCTCTTTGTTTTGAGCCACTGTCGATTCTTTTCGAGGCTGCTCAGCGCCTTGTCTTCTTATTGTCCCAAAGTGCATGCTTCTCTGCCAGAGCGAAAGAGTCTATTAGGGTTAGATCTTCTTTCATGATCAATTCTCCGAATAGTATGTGGTCTGTTGGGGAGTCTTTTTTGGAAGGCTGCATTTGCTATTGAGTCGTCACATCCGACTATCTTCACCTTCTCTGCTTTAAACTCTTCACGTAATTGCAAAGCAACTCCTTTGAGTTCTTCTTCATGTTGAACAAATGGTCGGACTTTTTCTTGACCAAGCGGTAAGATGAGTATTATTTGGTGAAAACCAAAGAAAGATCATCAAAACTCAAGATGGATCGTGGTGGCAAGGTGTGAAACCAATCTTGTGCTTCACATTGTAAAGTGGTGGTGAATATTTTGCACATAAGGGCATTGATGTTCTAATAAAGGACCATCGTGCTTCGATAGTGCTTCAAATGCCTCTTCAGATCTCCATCTCCTTTGAAAGATGTGAAATGTGGCATGCTAAACTTGCGTGGAGGCTCTGGCTGCTTGATCTCATCCGTGAAGGGTGACCTGCTCATGTGGGTCATGTCCAGTCGTACTGCTTCATCGACCACTTCATTGGGTTGGAAATCACGTAATCACTCATTTAAAAGCCTTTCTACCTCTTCCTGAATTTGCCTTTGTTGGGGTAACAGAGCTCTCCGCTGCCCCCGATCTTGATATGCTGGTCTAGGCTGCAATTCTACTTGATCAGCTCGTCTATGCCGTGGCTGCAGTGCATGAGGTAAATTCCTAGCAGGTGAAGGATTTCTTCGTAGGCTGCTAGTTGAACTTAAGCCAGATTGAGTGACTGCTTCACTCCGTCCATCGTGCTGCCTACTCCGATGAGATATGGAGAATGCTTTTTACGGGCCTAACCATGAATGAATGTTTTGCATGGAAGGCTACTTATGTTGATCATCGAAGAATAGTTACAACCATAAGTGTATACTAATCTACGGCCCTAGTCAAGAATGCACGCTCCTCTGCGCACTAAGATAGGAGTATACGTTATCTCGGGGGCTCAATCGAGAGTGTACGCTGCCCGAACACTTGATTCGTTGCTGGTCGAATGGCTGCTTGCCGGGACATTGCTGGAAAGGTTCCTCGTCTACCCTTGTCCTACTTTTGGACACCTTGTCTGGGGCACGTTGGATCTCGGTGCATTGCAAGAACTGATTCACCAAGGTTGTTTGTTGTGCTAGGGCGCTTGTCAACTCTATGACTTGTCGGGACAAGTGTTGTTTGCTGTGAAATCCCATTCTTGGACTTCATTATTGCAAACTACAATTTCATATTAAGGAGTTTTTATAATTTATATTTTATTTTTGGGAATTTAATATTTATGGGGGTCCTAATTAGTTTATAAAGGGACCAATAAGAAAAGAAAAAAAGGTAGGGGAGAAAAAGATGAACTGGAAAAAGAGGAAGATGAGGAAAATGAAGGACGAACGAGGGGGAGGAAGGAAAAAAGGAAGAGAGAAGGAAAATAAGGTGGTTACGGGAGAGAAATGAGGGAACATGGGAGGCCAATCAGAAGAAAAAAAAAAAGAAAAGAGAAAAAGGGGAAGGGTGCAGAGCACCCAACCCGAACCCTTTATGTGACCCGTACACCCGCACCCAACCCAGTTGAATTTCCGGCCACCTCCACCATATTTTCAGGCAATTTTCACCTATTCAACACCTGCAAATATCATTACGCCATCCTCCTTCGTTGATCACCAAAAAATTGACAATAATTGGTTCGATTTCATTCAAGTTTACACTGTGGGTGCTGCGAGGAACCATGATGAAATCCACCAAATGTGAAACGATTTCCTCCAATTACCACCACCATTAGACTTCCCTTGGACCTAGGAACAAAGCCCAATCAGTGGTTGAGGCGTCAGAGTACGTTTTGGGGTTGAATCGGAGCACACCCAATTCTAGGGTTCCAGCAGATTAAGCCTGATTTCAAGAGTTTCCCGGCCGAATTGGACTTCGGCCCAGGTATGAAATTTGGTAATTTTTAGAAATAGTTGGATTTCAGGTGTTTTATTATGAATTACTTGCTTGTAAAATTTGGTAATTTTTAGAAATAGTTGGAATTTTCCGACGAGTAGGGGCGGCTGGCCGCCACGTGCAGCGGCGCGTAGGCCAAGACCCCCACTTGCCCTTGCTAGACTAATTTGGATATCATGATTCCATATGTGAAGTTCGATTGACGAAATCTCATCGCATGACTATAATTTGGATAGAGATCGCCCTTTGGACCTCAAGTGAATGGACGATCCGACCATTGGATTGTCACCAAAATTTAATACATTATAGTACGTAATAGTTGAGGACCTTAGGAAGTTACGGATCTGGAATCCGACGTATGGATCCTCCCGAAGTGGATTTGTAAGTTCGTAAAATAAAACGTTGACCGCCACCAGAAATTGTGATTGACAAAGATCCGACTGTTGGATCATAATGAAATTTTAGTATGTTGTTCTTGAAACATAATGTGGGCTATGGGAAGTTATGGATCCGAAATCCGATGTACGGATTTTCAGGATCAAATTATGTAGAGTTGTGGACCCTATCATTGACCGAGAGTTAACTTGTGGTCAACCAGTCTCGAAACGTTCTAAATATTAAAATTAGTACTACGAGACTAATTGAAATCTAGTGGGCCTATAGTGGTAAGATAGTGACTTGAATATACGGAATATGATTATTATCTTAATTTCTTATATTAGTATCATTTGTGAATATGAATTGGTCTTATAAATATGATTTCTATTGAAATGTGAATGTTGTATATTTAGCCATAGACCTATGCTAATTAAATATGATTTGGCTTGTGTATTGATGATGTTTGTGATATATATGTGTTTAATTAACTTTTAATAATGTGAATGATAATTATGATGAATGATATGACAATTATGGAATCTAAATATTGTTTGATAATTATTTGGATATGATTGCCAACTGAATACCTATTTGAACTTGACACTATTACCTAGCTTGAGATGGAGATGAAAGTCAGGAGATGAGTTAGGTACTTTATTAGATTTCTAGTAGGAATAGTAATTGAGGGATTCTTTGTGTCGTGCTCCATATGACTAGATGTTGGTTGATATGTGGAGTCGATAGCCTGTATGCATATAATTATGTATAAGGTGTGATGATGAAACTGCACCATGTAGCTGTAGTGCATGTATGGTCCTGCTTGGTTAATTCGCATTTGGGGACCATACTATTTATGGATCACGCTTGGTTAATCCATATTGGGCGATCCTTATGGCCATGTAGGCTTAGGAGTGATCATGCTTGGTTAAACCGCATTGGGTGATCACTTCCTAACAGATGTTGGAATGACTATGCTTGGTTAATTTGCTTTGGGGAGTCACAACCTACTTGGTTAATCCGCGATAGGGGGTCACTACTTAGTTATCTTGGTCTTGCTTGGTTAATCCGTGATAGGGACCATATTTTCTATGGATCGTACTTGGTTAATCTGCGATAGGCGATCCTTATATCTTTGGTATGGCCATACACACACACTTAGGGGTGATCATGCTTGGTTAATTCGTGATAGGTGATCACTACCTAACAGATGTGTAGGAATGACTATGCTTGGTTAATCCGCGATAGAGGGTCATTGCTTACTTGGTTACTGCAACGGTGGTTCTGCATGGTTAATCCACTATAGAGGGCCACTTCCTGTTTGGTTACTTATGTAGGCTTCGGCCAAACTGCTTCCCTCTAGCCCTAGTTTTAATGTATTTATGAACGATGGTTTTGGGAATCTTGGTAGTTTGAATGGGAAAAGCCGTTGGATGTCCGAGTGACTTCTTCAAAGTTTTCAGCGACTTGATGATGATTCTATAAAGTATGATTCTATAGTTGATGTTTATAGATTGTGATTGTTAGTCAGTTTTAATTGAATATCACATACTTGTATTATTGTCACTCACCCGAGCTTCGCAGCTTAACCGAGTTCTGATTTGCTAGTGAACCATTCCCTTGATGTAGGCACTAAATATGACAGGTCTGGGTACGAGAAGCAGCTTGGTATTTTAGTTCCGTTGAGTGTTCTGAAACCCATGACTGTTGGATTCCGTTGAGTGGTCCGGATTCCTTGCTCTTGCTCATTTCCATAAAGTTAGTCTAGAACCTTAGATTTGAATGAATGAGAATTACCACAATAGACCTTGTGAATATAAATTAGAATTATCAAGTTATTACTTGGAATCCAGGTAGGGAATTATGTAGAATTCCTTTAATTAATTTTGTGCACTGATATGTGATCTAGTTGACTGATTAACGTAATTAAATGTTAATATCGTGTCTCATTGACTCAGGGAATGGGTTACTGGAGGTGATTGTGGAATGATGTTGAATATGATTGTTATTAATATGATTATATCAGTGATCAATGTGACTAAAGGATATTATTGTGCTTTGCTGATTCTTTGATATATTACATGATATGAATTGCGATTTTATGTTGAAACATAATGATTTATGTGATGGATGAAATAGAAACCTTGATTGTCCCGTGGGTTGTTATGTAGCTTGAATCGAATAATTTCATGCTTGTCAAGTCCAAATGTTTGATTGAGGAATGTTATGCCTTTTGGCTTGAACGGACCGTGTTATATGATGAGTTGTAGTGAAGATGAACTACGAATGACTTGATTCCTGTGTAGGGTACGTAGGCAGTCTAACGAGAAGGTTAGATGCAGCCATAAAGTGTACAAAAATTTACTACGCAATTCGAGGCAAATTCGAGGCATGGCATGTGCTTGGTACATATCTTGAAGACGGGTATGTTAGATATATGGTTATTTGATGACGTCACGTGTCAATCCTAGACGTACGTCGAGATCAGGGCGTGACAACTTTTATGGTATCAGAGCTTAGGTATTAGGTCCTTGTACCTTTACCTTAGTGCAGGAACAATTTTTAGGTAACATCAGTTGTGACTTTGACAGGACGCTACTTAAGCATTTGATCTTATTGGTTTGAAGCCTTGTGTTGCTTATGTGGCATTTCTCTTGGTTGGTATCGGTGTGTTAAGCTCATGTATTGTGCTAATTTATTTCGAAGCAGAGTTTCAGTCGATGAATGTTGATAGTACGTTGAATAAGTGATTTGATTAAATCTTATTTAATCCTAGAAAATGTGGTGTGAAATTCACATGCATCATGATTACTTCAAATAGTAGTTAGAATGCCTTTCATTTAAATCAAGGATATGGATGATTGTGAAATGGTTGTGTTCGTATGACTGAATGGGAGAAGAAAATTTTTAAAATATCATATTTCATGTTATAGCTTCAAAGATGAGTGTTTGATTAAAATCTGGAATTAATCTTGAATTGGGTTGATATTATGTTAGGTGATATGAAAATTTTGAATGTTAAGATGATTGTGCAATTGTGATAAGTATTAGAAAAGTCGTATTATATCTGTGCAATTGAGAAATGTTGAATAAGGTGGAAAATACCATGGATGTTGATTCGGGCGAAAGGCTGTGGAATGTGGAGGAATGTTGGAATGGGTAAAATGACCCGTGGAATGTGAGTAATGGATGAGTGGGCACAAGGACCCAATGTTTCCAGGGAGAAGCTCCATGTGTGAGATGTGAGAATGAATTATTAAAGTGATAAATATGTGTGATGTGTATTGGCCTGATATATTACAATCTTTTTTTTTTTTAGTCTAGTAGTTACTTGTGGGAATAAAAGAAAAAGGTGATGAAATCATTGTTTTGCTAATGATGAATTTTAAAATCTTATGGCCATGATATTTAAGGTTGGAGATTTTAATATTGTTGAAAGTCACGATGATTTATTCGTTGATTTATTTATTTTGAGCTTGAATAAACTCATAGATTGAGAATATGATTTTATTCACTATAAATCGAATGATGTGGAAAGTTTGTAATTACAAATTTGGTTGGTTTGGTTGCCAGCATCATGAGTATATTGATGAATTCTTATTAATAGTGGCATTCTTTGTGCTTGTACAAAGATTGGTGTTGAGATCGTGTTGAGACGATGATAATTGAATTTGTGAGTGGTGGTTCGATGTTGTCTGTAAAACCCCAGAAATGTATATTTAGTTATTTGGGGCTTGTAAAGGTTTAGTTAAAGTGGGTGTGTATATTAAAAAAAAAAAAAACCGAAAGGTGGAGAACACGTGTGTTTGTAAGATGATTTCTTCATCTTTGGTTTGGTGCCCTGTTCCCAAAAAGGGCAGAAAGGAATAGAAATAGATGGGTTTTCTCTGGGTGTCGAAGGAAGAAGAAAAAAATGCATCGGGTAATCTTTAGACATCCGAATGGGAATCCGTTTTCGCCTCTGTGATCAAGAAATCTACCTCTACGAACGAAGGTAAGAATTCAATGCTTATTGCAGATTCGAAATTATATTGTAGTTGGAGATTTCAAGGTAATAACTTTGAAAAATTTATGTTTGAAGTGCTATATGGTTGAATTGAGAGTCCTGAAAGTCTCAAGGCTGGTCGAACAACCAAATTAGAGAAGATTAAGGTAAAATTTTACTAGTTCTGGAGTTTTGGAATTTCAGTGTGCTTTGGCTGTTTATTGGCATTGGATATATGGCTTCTAAATGAATTTCATGGAGAAGGTGAATTAAACTGGGGTTTATGTGAATAAAGATTTGATTGGTTATTTTGGGGTTATACATGCACTGTGCAGATGAAATTGAGATGTGTTGGTTTATGTTGGTGCATGTGAACTGTATATTGATATGTTCTTTTTCAGAATAGGCACTTTCTTGGCTTAAGCAAGACCAAGAGATAAGAGAGAACAACTTGTGGAACGAGTTAGTACCTAAAGCTTGGAATATCAGTTAAGGGGGACTCACACCCTGGTTAGTGGTTTTCGATATGTATTATGTATATAAATATGGATGCGTGCAAGCTATGCATTGAATTTTGTTGTGGTTAGAACTGCATGTTAGGAAAAAGGAGTTTGGTTTTTCTAGCATGTGATTTATGTTGTTCTAAATGTCATGACAACCTGAGAGTGAAGGGAGCTGTGTGACTACCTTGGGCTTCGATCCCCTAAACCTCCGGAGGGTCCTATACAAACGGACTCGTACCATTAACCGTAAGGGAATGGTACTTGTGTCTAAGTGGTATAGGTTGTAAGTGGACACTCTCGCTACCCTACCTTGTGTTGTTATTACTTGAGAATTTATTCTAGGTACGGTAGTTGGCCGCGTGTTCGGTTGTCAGGACAAATAGAATGCATGGATCCCACTATGGTTAATTATAAGCATAAAATAAATTTTTTACTCATGCCAAAGCATTTGTTATGCAAATTATTTCCTTAATACGTTGTACAAAGGTATATATTTTCAAACCTAGCTAGGGTGCCTCCCGAGAGGGGGGCAAATGATTGTATGTGATGCTCACCCCTACATTTTCAGGTGCTGTGCGAGAAATAATGGAAGAGTTGGATTAAGGTGTGCGGTTGTAGCTTGTCAACCTAAAAGCTTCCAACCAGAAAAGCAACTTTTGAAATGTAAATATTGATTTTCTGGTTTCAGTGAAAACTGTCTGTGTTTTTCCTCTTTGTTTCTGTGTATATATATATATGTATATATATATATATATGTCTAAACCTATCACTCCTTTGGCTTGTAAACTGAACTTTTGGAACTTCTGTTGTAAAAAGGTTGCTTAAGAAATGGTTTGAATGTTTTGGTTTTCACTTAAACTCTGATATATATTTGATATAAAATTTTAGAGGCCTTACGTATTTTAAAGATATATGAGAATTGTCATGTTCTAAGTTTGAAGCATACAACTCTCATGTGTTTTTAAAATTTGCGGCGCTGTTGCGTTACTTTTTGGGTCATGACATTGTCGAACTTGATGATAGCCAAATTCGAGTATAATTAAGGTGTGAATACCAATTGTGAATCGTTATCAATTTGACATGTGGCATTGGTGAATATGGAAATTGATATTGAAATTTCAAGGACGAAATTTTTTTAGGTGGGGGGGAAATGTGAAATCCCATTTTTGGACTTCACTATTGTAAACTACACTTTCATATTAAGGAGTTTTTATAATTTGTATTTTATTTTTGGGAATTTAATATTTATGGGGGTCCTAATTAGTTTATTAAGGGAACAATAAGAAAAAAAAAAGGTGGGGGAGAAAAAGATGAATGGGAAAAAGAGGAAAAGGAGGGAAATGAAGGACGAACCGGGGGGGGGGAGGAAGGAAAAAGGGAAGAGAGAAAGAAAAAAGGGTGGTTGCGGGAGAGAAATGAGGGAACATGGGAGGCCAATCAGAAGGAAAAAAAAAGAAAAGAGAGAAAGAGCCCGAACCCTTTATGTGATCTGTACACCCACACCCAACCTGGTTGAATTTCCGGCCACCTCCACCATATTTTCAGGTGATTTTCACCCATTCAACACCTACAAATATCATTACGCCCTCCTCCTTCGTTGATCACCCAAAAATCGACAAGAATTGGTTCGATTTCATTAAGGTTTACACCGTGGGTGCCGTGAGGAACCATGATGAAATCCACCAAATGTGAAACAATTTCCTCCAATTACCACCACCATTAGACTTCCCTTAAACCTAGGAACAAAGCCCGATCAGTGGTTGAGGCGTAGGAGTACGTTTTGAGATTGAATCGGAGCACACCCAATTCTAGGGTTCCGGTGGAACAAGGTTGATTTCAGATGTTTCCTGGCCGAATTGGACTTTAGCCCAGATATGAAAATTACTCCTCTCACTGAGAACTACTTGCTTGTAAAATTTGGTAATTTTTAAAATAATTGAAATTTTATGGCGAGTCGGGGCGGCGCGTGGGCTGAGACCCCCACCTGCCCTTGCTAGACTAATTTGGATATCATGATTCCATATGTGAAGTTCGATTGACGGAATCTCATCGTGTGACTATAATTTGGATAGAGACCGCCATTTGGACCTCAAGTGAATAGACGATCCGACCGTTGGATCGTCACCAAACTTTAATACGTTAGAGTACGTAATAGTTGAGGACCGTAGGAAGTTACGGATCGGGAATCCGACGTATGGATCTTCCCGAAGTGGATTTGTAAGTTTGTAAAATAAAATGTTGACCACCACCCGAAATTGTGATTGACAAAGATCCGACCGTTGGATCATAATGAAATTTTAGTATGTTGTTCTTGAAACATAATATGGGTTATGGGAAGTTACGGAAAAGGTGTGCTTTTGGAAAATTGATCTAATTTTTTCATTAAGCTGACAAGCTTACTCGTAATCAACAGTGCTCGATGTTAATAGACCGGCTTAAAAAGCTCTACTACTTGCGATTTCCTCTACAAGCCAACACTGAATGTACAACAAAAATGCAGGAAGGAAATAAGGAAGGAAAGAATTACTTGATAGTAATATTCTTGATAAAATTTGATCCAGAACTACAACAATGTTGTCATAGCATTGTCGGATTTACGATGCGTCTTTGTCCCTAGCTGCATAATCAAGCTGCAAATGCAAAAAAACATGGTCAAGTCACTGAATCTATTTTTTGCAACAGACTAGGAGCATTCACCCCCCGAAGACCCGAGTTTAATTCACCCGTCCCATAATATCGCTTGTAAAGAGAAAAGAAAGACCCAAGTTTTCACAATGCACTCACACCACAAAACCACGACCAAGCTACATCATCACTTTACATTCTTTGTAATTATCTTATCATTTGTGAAAAGTAAAATGAATGGGGTTACTTAGTCTGATAACATTGTTGAAGAGGTTGGTATAAAGCTTCATGAGTTGAGGCCTTTCACTTGCTGGTTTCCCTTGAATTATGGTGTAAAAATCTTGCTTCAACAACGATGAGCTTTTCCTCAGAGCTGCCTGCAATTCTCTCCACGACTCGAACTCTATCAGATCCTTCACTTCCAACAAAGCTTGTGCGTGCCCTCTGATTTTGTCATCTGCTTCTGTAACCGTCTGATCAGGCGCTACAAGTGGCAACTCGAACCCAGAAGCAGCTTCAGTGAAAAGTGCTTCTTTTGTCAGCAGTGCCACCCAGCTTATTGCTGCCATTGCTCCCATTCTTCTTCTCTTGACATGGAACTCAAAACCCTTTGGTGGCAGTGGCTTCTCCCTCGACTGTTGAAACTCATAGGGTTGTTTCAGACAGCAAGCAATTGTAAGATTCATGTGTTGCAGTATGCCTGGTTTAAATGCTATTGTTGTTCTTTTGCATAAGAATACAGAGCAAACAAACGGTGGATATGGATAGAGAGAAATGCCTGCCTGTGGGATTATAGGAAGTGGGTGGGGGTGGAGGGTTGGGTTGGGCTGGTGTTGGGATTAGGCCTGGGCTAAAAATATAATATTGTCACCCTACAGAACAAACAAACAAACACGCACTTGTACGAATATATTCATTTTCATCAAATTTTGTTTGAGTTTTTTTATACAACATTTCTTTTTTTTTCTTTTTTTTAATTCTACAACTTTTGTTCTCAATATTCACGTTTAGTTTTTGAGTTGTCTTTCTTTGGCCATCAATTATATTGTCTTATATATGGTGTTTTTAATAATAAAAAAAATCTAATATTCCAAAAAATAATAATAATAATTATTGACAAAAATGAATTTTTTTAAAGAGGTTGTTAGTACTCTATAATTTACTAGCTAATTATCATGCGCTTGAGCATGGCACCAGTTTAAATTTGGTATGGAGTTTTGTAATAATAAGTATTGAATTTATAGTCCTCTTACGATTGGTTTGGTACACATGATTGAATTGAAATAGATAACCAAAGTATGTTGAAGGTGGAAGTGAATGGTTATTCATTTGGAGGAGATTAGAAGAGGATTAGCTATGAAAGAAATCCATCCCTTTTAATTTTACCATATTAAGGAGGATTTGAATGGATAATTATTTTTCATGAGTAATCTGTCTATTATTCTCTAGGTGGTCATAATTTTATAATTTCTCTCTTTAACGCATGTTTAATTTAGTAAGTTATCCATTTTCAATCCAATTATGTGTTCTAAACGAACTTTTATTGCAATATGAAAACTTGTCCTTGTACCTGTCCTCACCACCACCTTATGTCCTTAGATGTAAGAACTTTGTGGCTTTCCAATGTGCTAGAATTACCAGTCCCTATAGTAGACGGACTGGCCGAAGACGGAAGACCCCAAAAATTTCCTCACAATTGTGGACTGCATAGGTTCTCTCAAATGTGGTGGGGCCCATGTTTATTTTGAGTTAGGTGAAATCCTAATCACATGATGGGACTCTCAGAATACTGTGCAGCTTCCAATGGGTGGGTCTTACTACTTTTTCTTTTATTTATTGGTGGGATATCAAAACTTATGAGAGTATTTTTTTTTAGTTTTTTTTTTTTAACTAATTAGACTAACGGCTGCAAAATAAACTATGATGTTTTAATCATTATGATTCTTTTGTTACACCAAATTGGATTAGGTTTAGTGACTAAGTTAAACGGTATTAGTGAAACGTTTGGTGCAATGTTGGACTAAAAATTTGATTATTTTTTATTATTTAATTCATATTTATTAATATTTTATTATTAGTTTACCTTTTTTTTTCTAGAGTCATCTCTCTCTCTATCTAAACTTGTCCCTCTTTTTCCTGTGCCACTTTCTCCCTCTTCCTTTCACTATTTTCCTTCGTTTCAACTTTTTTATATTTATTGGAATCCTCTTCATTTCACACCTATTTCTTCGTTTCACCATTTCTATAGAATCCTCCGCCCACTCTTCCCTCACCTCCCCCTTTTTTCCTCTGTCACTCTCTTCCTCACCTCTCCCTCTTTTCCCTATGCTGAGGATTCGTCGGAGCTCTCCACCCAATGCCTCTTTTGATTTTTTTTACAGAAAATATTGGGATTTTCTAGAAATTTACTTCTTTGTTTTGAATTTGTGTGGAGGATTCGTCTGTAGGTGCTTCTGGGGGGTTTTGCTGTTTTTGTTTCGAATTTTTTGGGTTGAATTTTGAGATTTAGGTGGTGGGTGGGGGTGGTTTCAAATCTAGGCATAGGTGGGGGAGTAGGAGTTGCAGACGACAAAGGCATGCAAACGATGTTGGAAACAGGATTAGCAATCTCATGCTTTTTGGTGGGTATATCTAAGTTGATGCCCTTAGTCGGAGCGTGTCTGACTTAATTCATTTAGGGTGCGTTTGTTGCACCGGACTATCTCGGACTGGACTAGCTTCAGGGACTAAACTAGACTGGCTTAGACTAGACTAAGCTGGACTGATTTAGTGAAGCGTTTGGTGTAGGGTCGGATTAAAAAGCAGGACTAATATATTTTATTATTAAATTTATATTTACAATATTTTATCATTAATTTAATCTATATATACTAATATTTTATTATTAAATTATCATTTTCCTTTTATCTTCTCTCGTTGTTTTGTCCGCCAGCCCTCCCCTCTCCTTTTCTCTGCCATTTCATCTCCTTTCTAGAACATCTTCCTCTCTCTTTTTTTTCCGCCCATTGCATCCCTCCCCTCTCCTCTTTCTCTACCATTTCATCTTCCTCTTTTTTTTTTTGTCCACCCAAATCTTCCTCGGACTCCAAATCTGCCTTGCCCTGCACCAGCGACTTCACCTGCTGCTGGCAGTCCTTGCCCTGCACCAGCGACTCCACCTGCTGCTGGCAGAGAATTCAACGACTTGAGGTTCTGGAGCTTCTCGGATGGCTCGTCCATGGCGATGGTGGCGGCAGGAAATATGGGATTGGGGATTTTTTGTGGGTGATGGTTGGTGGTGGGAAATATGAGATGGGGGATTTTTTGTGGTTGATGTTGGTGGTGGAAGAACCCTCGCAGGGAGAAGGAAGAAGCCCAGAACTCACAGAAGGGCTCGCAGGAAGGTGAATCAAGCAGGACGAAGAGAGATGTCGTCGAAATCGAGGTCGATGAGGTGAATCAAGCAGAACGAAGAGAAGTTCCTAGCTAATCCCGTGGTTTTTGGGGGGACTCGTGAAGACCGGCTAGCATGCCTCGCAGGGACTCGTAGTCGAGGCGAGTCCTATTTATTTTAGTCCCACAACCTACCAAACGTAGGATTATAGTCCTACTTAAGGTAGTCCAAGCCAATCCCTCCTAAGGAGGTGTAACAAACGTGCCCTTAAGTTATTTGTGCTCTCACCAAACACGGATTAGTAGGCTTAGTTACCCCAATCGAGTCTAGTGAAACTTAACAAGGGCAAATTTGTTTCACCTTCTTAAGTGGGAGTTGACTAGCTAGGACTACTATCCCATGTTTGTTATGTCTAAGGACTAAGTTAAATGAAACTAGCACTGACTCGTGTGGACTTCGAGCCTCATTAGGTCGTCAAATTAGTCTCCCGCTGAACCATGGGATTGCTAAAAGACCTAACTAAACGCCTATTTCCCATGAACTGGTGAGAACAATCCTTGCTTAGCTTCGTTTCCTTCCTTCTCTCCAAAATCCCAACCAATCTATAAATCTCGCTACAAATCTGAACCACAAAATCTTGATTTCACTGATTCCCTCCAAAAACTCTTTTCTTATTTTCCACCGAATCCTCATCAAACCCGCCTACATTCACATCAATCCGTAAGCTTTAATTTCCTTAGGGTTTTTAGAGTTCTGTAACTGTAGAGATAGAATGTAGGTAGTTGTCAAAATGCTAGGTGGGTTGTACAGAGACTTTCCTCTGCCCTATTCAACGGAGAAAGAGAAGCCCGGCAACAACACGGTGTGGTTGAGCAGCACGAAAATGGCATCGCAGATGATTCTGAAGGCACATAACAAGCCCAAATCGTCAAATGCGGTGCAGCAAAAAATTACAGCATCAACGACAGTTGCATTGTCGCCAACGGTGATATACGATAACGTCGATAGAGAGACTCGGTGAAAGATTTAGTTGCAAAGAAGAAGAAAGACTTGGTGAAAGGTTTAGTTCAAGTACTTTATCAGGATTCAATTGCAATTTTTACTAAAGATTAGTTCCAAACACATTTTCATAAAAAAAGGTTTTTAGTCATTTTAAAATCAGTTCTAAATGAGCCCTAACCCAGTCTAGCTTAGTCGTTGAAGTCCAGTCTGAAATAATTTAATGCCTATAATCCTTAGATTTAAGGATTATAACACTTCCATTAGAGCTAATATTCCTTTAGAGACAGATATATTCTTTTTAAGTCCCTAAAATATGGACTCCCGTTCGAGATGCAGTAATCACTCACTTTACCATGCTGCAAACTTCTCTGAATTTCACTTCCATAACATCAAATGCTACGATAGTTTTGTCTTTGCAAATATCCCCTATACATTGAAATAACTTTAGGGTTTCACCACTCCATTTTTCTTCAAGTCTTAGTAAAGAACTAACCGAGAAAGACCATTCTAAATAAAAGATTCTCTCATCTTCTACTCTACGGCCTGTTTGAAAATGCTATCAAAATCGCTTGTAGATCTCTAAAAGAACTTCTAAACAATGTTTGATAATTACACATTTTTATGAAAAATCTCGATGGACTTTTAATAAAAGTGCTTGCAAGCGAAATTATTTCACATGCAAAATGCAAATGATGCTAACGCTATACATTGTCTTTGCATGTGAAATGTGTGTATGCAGCAGGGCCGACCCTGAGAATTTGGGGCCCTAGGCAAGCCTTTGAAGTGGGGTCCCAGAGTTCTCTGACTCCCAACCCTTTGTACACTGACATGTGTAAATTTTTTTTACTAAATACATGAAAAGTCTATTTTTACATCAAATATTATTAAAAATTAATATAAAAAAACGAAATATATACAAATATTACTCAAATATTACATGTCTCGCGTTTTTAGATGCAAATGCACTTATTAAGTTTACATAATCTAATTTTTCAACCAATTCAAACATAAAGAGAAGTCCATATACGCCAAATTTCAATCATTTTTCTACTGTTACAATATTACTTATTACCTTCAATAAATGAATAAATGGTTGGATTACATAGACAACATCTTACATCTAGGGCAAATACTAGAGTGAAGAGGATAATAATTTTCGTATATAAACCTAGGTGGACGAGACGAATTTGAATATGGTTGTCTTCTTCCTCGCATGAGGCCGACCCTGCATGATGTAGTGAATAAGGAGTTTATTCAATGGGGCTTTTGGTATTTTGGTGTTCATCCATTCCGTTAATTATTAATTTGAGATTCATGTATCTTAGGTTGTGATTTAATGTTTTGTGGTAATTTTGATGCATTGTAAGTTGTGTTTTAAATTAAGTGGCTAGGTGGAACAATTGTCATTTAATATGTTTAAGTGGCTCAGGGAGTTGTATTTGCATTGATGAAGATGTTTTGGCACACTAGTATATTAGGGAGGGAGTTTGATATGCTAATGGAGACAATTTGGAATTATAATTTTATGGTAACGAAGAATGGAGCATTGCTCTTCTATCATTTTTTTGGCAAGCCTCGTGTGTCTTTTGATATCTCATTTATCTCTTTGTCGTTCTGCATTATTTGGTACCAGAGCTTCGCTACTCTCTTTGGGTTGCTTCGCGCTATTTATCTAAATGGCAGCGATGGAAGGTAAAGGAAGGCATGGTAACCAAGAGCCTGGAGATCTAAGAGTTGAAAGAGATGACGAAATTCAAGAACTGCGACAAGAAATCGAGTTGCTTGCCTTGCGAATTGAACGCCTAGAAGCTCGAAGGAAGCATGGTGGATCAAAACGCAAGAAGCACAACCAATGATGGTCGACTACCCAAATGTCAAGGTTTGGTAGTTGGCTTAAAGATGCTAGGTCTTGCACCGTCAGATGCGAATCTGATAAGGTGAACCCAAATACTTATCAAAATGAACAAATGGTGATGCCTAAAGTTCCAGATTTGAAGGTAACCCCATTAGTGTCACTTATCTTTGAAAATGAGTTCGATAATGATGAATTGGGCTATACTTATGATTGTACCTTACCACCTATCTATGATGAATATCATGAAGATGGAGATTCATGTCCAAAAAAAGAGGTCACAGATGAATCTCTTCATCACAACAAGCTGGGTTATTCATCAATTGATATATCTCATGCAAGCGAATCAATTTCTCTGCACAATTTCATGTCTTGCTCAAAGGGGGATCCCGAAGCAAAAGGTTTTGCCAATCCATCTAGTGGCACTAATGATGTCTTCTTGGAACATGGGAGAGATGGAACAATGAGTGCGGACCTGATTCCCTGTAATATTATTTCCCTGGATGCTTCAAACATTACAAATTATACTACTTATTTGCCTACAGTTGAGGAAAAGGTTCCCAACTTTCAGTTTTATGATTCCATTTGGTATGACTTTATCTATGGATCCATCAACAACTATTTGAATGCAAGGAAAGAGTTAATTATGATTTTGAAGCCTTATATCTTTCGTGAAAAGTTATGTAGGTTACTACAATTTTGGGAAAGAATGAATCTTTGTTTCTGCCATGCAAGTAATATTTTTGTTAGTTCGAAGAAGAAAAGAAAGAGAAGTGAGGCAACGTGGTTTCTAAACTCGGCGATTTGGAAGGAGCTTGGCTTGAAATTAGTGAACTAGTGGACGAGTTCTTTCTCAATCGGAGAGTCTGATGTAGTGAATAAGGAGTTTATTCAATAGGGCTTTTGGTATTTTGGTGTTCATCCATTCCGTTAATTATTAATTTTAGATTCATGTATCTTAGGTTGTGATTTAATGTTTTGTGGTAATTTTGATGCATTGTAAGTTGTGTTTTAAATTAAGTGGCTAAGTGGAACAATTGTCATTTAATATGTTTAAGTTAAGTGGCTTAGGGAGTTGTATTTGCATTGATGAAGATGTTTTGGCACACTAGTATATTAGGGAGGGAGTTTGATATGCTAATGGAGACAATTTGGAATTATAATTTTATGGTAACGAAGAATAAAGCATTGCTCTTCTATCATTTTTCTGTCAAGCCTCGTGTGTCTTTTGACATCTCCTCTATCTTTGTCGTTCTGCATTATTACAACAAATTTTTTTCAGATTTTAACATTTACATATAAGCTCGCATAGCTCCCGCTTATCTCCGTCCAAACCTGCCTAGTTCCATTTAAAAATTGAAGACCGTTTCGAAATGGAGCCGTAGACGAGCGCCTACTCGTGATGATGTGTTGCGTTCATGGTCCATAGCATGAATGAATAATACGGTCGTGGGAACTTCTCTTGAAAAGTAGTTACGTAAACAACTTTTATTAAAGTAAGGCATAGTCCGTACTCTGACAAGGACCACTGAAGTATGGTGGCACATGGATACTGTCACATCAGTCCCATATTGAACGGTCAAGATTTACAGGTACGGATCCCTGGACGGCGATGATGGGAGGTTCCCGTATCGCTCCCAGACTCTCTCTTCTGGTATGAGGTCCAGCTCGGTCGGGACCCTTATAAGAAGGGAAAGAGTGAAGACCCTTACTCTTTCCCTTTCCCTTCCCTCTCTCTCCTCTCTCTCCTCTGTTCGGCACTCTGAGTTACAACTTTCAAAGCAAAATCTCTCTTTCTCTTTCTCTCCCTACTTTTCTCTCTCTTTGGCTTTGGGGGTTTGAATCGAATGGACAGTGATAGACCGGAAAAGGAGGAGGAAAAAGCTTTTTGAGCAACAACAATCAGCTTTGAGCTTCTGCTTCTTCTGCTTCTTCTGCTTCCATGGCGATCTCTTAGAGGAGAGCGTGATGCTTCCATGGAGGGAGGGGGAGGGGTTTCCAGTTTCCTCCATTAGGGGCTTCAAATTGTAGAAAAGGATGGATAAATTGGATAGCTTGAAGTTGTAGTAGTAGTAGTAGTCAGGAACTCCATCCTCTTTCTTCGGTTGGTGAGGGTGGTTTTGCAGATTAGGGTTTTCCTATGTGTGAATTTTTAAATATAATTAGGGAAAGGTTTAGGTTGATATTTATATATCTTTAGTGATATGAAGCTTTCAACATCAGGGTTGGGTCAGCAGGATCATGAAGGTAAAAACCATATTTTTGAATAATTTTTTTTGCTTTTAGTTTATTATATTTCTGATATTTTAGTTTTAGGTGTAGCTTTCTGAAATTTCTGTAATTGATTACTATTATTGTTGCTGTCATTGTTAGTATTTTTTGTTTATTGAACTGAAAAATGGCAGGAGGAGGAGGATTGGAAAAGAAGTGCTTGAATTCGGAGCTGTGGCATGCGTGCGCGGGACCTCTGGTGTCCCTGCCGACACCTGGGACTCGTGTAGTCTACTTTCCGCAGGGCCACAGCGACCAGGTTGCTGCCACTACCAACAAGCAAGTTGATGCCCACATACCAAACTACCCGAACTTGCCACCCCAGTTAATCTGTCAGCTCCACAATGTGACAATGCATGTGGGTTCCCTTTGCCTTTTTTGAATTTTGATTCAGCTGCATCACTTTCACTTGCTTATTACTAGTAGAAGAAAGAACACAAGTTAAAAATTGAAACCCAAACTGGAATTGATTAAGCATTGGATTTCAGGCAGATGTGGAGACAGATGAAGTATATGCCCAAATGACATTGCAGCCTTTGACGCCGGTAAATGCTTATGTCCTTTTTGGTTTTACTTGTTGAATTTTTTTTAGCTTTACCATAATAAGTTGTAATGTTATTTGAAACCACACCCATTCTCACACAGCAAGAACAAAAGGAAACATTTCTTCCAATGGAGTTGGGGCTTCCAAGCAAGCAACCGACAAACTACTTTTGCAAGACATTGACGGCGAGTGATACTAGTACACACGGAGGCTTCTCTGTTCCACGTCGTGCTGCCGAGAAAGTTTTTCCTCCACTGGTACTTCCCTCCTCAAACTGTTATTGTCTATTCGTTTCTTCTTTATTTGACTCTAGTTGGTTAGTGCTGCTTTTTAGTTAAACCCTATTATTTTTATAATGTCTTGCAGGATTTTTCGCTACAACCTCCAGCTCAGGAACTAATTGCTAGGGATCTCCATGATGTTGAGTGGAAGTTTAGGCATATTTTTCGAGGTATGATTTGGACTTGGAGCATTTCTTTCTTGTGTTTCATTTTAGGGTATTTTATATCTCAATTTACCATCTATTTTGCTTAACAAATATTTCTCCTATAACCGAAAAAATAATTTCTTCATTAATATACTTGCAAACTTAAAATTCTTTTAAATGCTAGTATTCTTCTAATTATTGGCAACATAAAACTATTGTTCATGAGACATAATTTGTGCAAGGAAAGCACAAATGTGCAGTTTCTCTTTCTTCTTCTGTTATTCAAGCAATGGAAGAAATTTTAGGTTACAATCATTCATGCAGCTGCAGGATTGATTGGTTTGTCAGGTTCTTGTATTTTGGGGGATTTGATCTGCTTTCCATATGGACATTTATATGGAAAGCTAAATATGGTCGCATCAATTGATTGTTTACTTAAAACCCTGGTTCAGCGGATGCCCAGTTAACTTCTTGATGGTACTGTAATTTTAAGTTTTAAAATTATGCTCATGCTGCCTTAATGATTGTAATTCAGGTATTAAGCATATTTTCAATAGTAGGTACGCTTCTAGGGTATGACTTTTGTCTGTTCAAATCATTAATGTATAACACATGTAGGTGTTATACATATATGATCACTCAGTGGACTAATCCACTTATTTGTCATGTATCCTTTATGTCGACAGTATGATTAAAGGATTCTGATGGACGTTGTTTAGCACATCAATGTAACCCTGGTGCTGAGGAACAAGATGTTTTTAGGATTTATTGCTGGAAGAGTTAAAATGAGAATACTATCCAAATCCTTTTAGGATTGGATTAAAACTTTCGGGCCTGGGTTTTATTATTAGTTTCCTAGTTTTCTTTAAAGTTTCCTGTTTCTAGAAGGATTCGGCTAATTTCCTATTCTATTTTGGATTAAGATTTCTTAGGTATAATGCTCTATTAAAACCCCCTTTTGTACCTCATAGAGGACAGATAAGTTTATGATAGGTAAAATTCTTGAGTTTAATTTCCTGCTATAGGAGTTTATTTGGTGTGATTTCAAATTTCAATTCTTGGTGCAAGGCCAAGAACAGGTGAAAGGCCCATCGTGCGATTCCAATTATCTTTTTACTATTGTTTTACCTTATGTTTTCTGTGTTTATACTTCCGCTAAACTATCTAATTTCTGCTGCCCTACTCTGTCCTACACTACTTGGCATGGTACATAATCGTTTCTATAACCGTCCCACTGATGCCGCTGAATATTGAGATCCCAAGTTCCTAATGTGAACAAGACATTTTGATAAGATGCAATTATTAATGCATGAATGGGGAATTGCTTCCGAGGGACTCAAAATCTCAAACATGGAGACTTGATGTAAGCAACCCTTTGTCGTATGAATATGTTAAGGATCACAAGACTCACCACTATGATGAAAAGTGGACTTGAATCATCATGGAACAATATTTTGTCAATGGGGTGTTGTTTGATCAGATTTTATCTACCTGGTGTGATCCTTCACACTGAGTTAGTCACCTGAATTAGTGAAGAGACAACCATTCATTGTTTTAAGGTGTGTAGCAATATCAAGGTATTTTGAATTAGTAATGAACATTGTTGTGGATAAGAGTACATGTAATCCATGCTGAAGCTCTTTTATGGAAAGGGTTGCTAATGTTGGCTGTAAGATGTGGATGAGGCTGAATTATATGGATGATTGATAAAACAATGGAGCTGTATTTGAATATGTTTGAACTGCTGTTCCTGGTATTAGCTTGACACACAATGCTGGTCCATTCATCAACGACTTAAGCTTTTGAGCTCTACTGGTTGCCGACTCCAAGTGCTTTAAGTTTGTTTTGTTTTCTTTGTATTCTTTAGTTCTCATATTTCACCAGGTTCTCTGATAGATTTGTGCACTTAGATAACACATATCTTCTGCTATGTGGTTGCTCTTCATCTTTTGATTCATCTTGGATGAGCTGTTCGACAATCACTACTGTGTTGATAGTGCTCCATTGGATTAGCTCTTTCTGAGACCTGTGGTGCCCTTGTTTGTTGGAGCAGTTCCGTGATAGTCAGTGCATGAGGCCAAGCAACAGAACTTCTGGTGGTTTGTGGGGGAGTGCTGCAATGTTTCCAGATGACAGAACCAGGAAACAGAGGATATATTTCCTCTGATTCTTATGATCTCTCTTATTCTTGGGGAAGGAAACTACTTATGATTAGATTGTGGCATGTATAAAATACACAGTTTATGCAGTGGTTTGTGCACGTGTGGTGGATCCGACATGGCTAATTACTAGGTTTCATTGAATAGGTGATGCCTGGAATGTTTGCAAAAAAGGATGATTTGAATTTGGATTTGATAGATGCTCTGGCACCAAATTGATGTGTAACAGGAAGTACAGAGAGAATAGAAGAACCTGGAGAGTAAGAGAGAAATAGGGAGTAGAGGTTTAAGGAAAGAAAGGGATCAAGGAGAGAGAGGCAAGGTAGGATAAACACATTTCTTTATTGTCAAATCAAAGAATGTGATCCATTGAGAAAATACTAGGCTATCCGAAACCTTTTTGGTGGTTTCCGCAATCTTCATTTTAGCTTATTTATATTTATCTTTCTTAACCCATAGTTGGATCTCTTTGTATTGAAATCTCATACAATAAAATATCCTAGATTATCGTAAACAAAGCCAAATAACTAATGAATTATTAATTATAGTAAATAAAATATAACAAAAATAAGCGTACTTTATAAATTTGTGTGCCTAAGATAAGGATAACTTTTTTTTATTTTTTGTTTCCACTGTCAATGCCTCCAGTGTTATGTGATTGTACAATAACTAAATTTCAAAAGTAAACTTTTAAAGATTTTTCAAGATTTATGCTTTATAGTTTATAAGGCAGGCTACTCTATTCTCAAAACTTGCCTCTTAAGCGAGTGCTGAGATGGTGGTGATGGTATGGCTTAGTGGAATATGAGCAAAGATACAATAAAATCTTTTTAAAGTTAGGGAGGGCTAAAGGAGGATGAAATACATGAGCGGAACAGTTTTAAATCTAATATATTTAAATGTTGTTACTTGTTCCTTTATTAGTTTTTGTTGTTGTTATTATGAAGTGGAACAGTTTTAAATGTAATATCTTCAAATTATTCCTTGATGGATAAACTACGCTTTAGTTTTCTGCATCCTCTCTTTCTCGCTTTCTTCTAATAATTAAACAAGATGGAATCTTTATTGCTGAAACCACTGTAAAGAAAAAATGCTCTGGACTGCTGACTGGATAATGCTGTCTTGGTGACCGCCTAGTACTGATTAAGGGGATTCTTGAAAACTGACCTGTTCCATTCCTTGCTATTCTTGCAGGACAGCCGAAACGACATCTTCTTACTACAGGCTGGAGTGTGTTTGTTAGTGCCAAAAGACTTGTTGCCGGAGATTCTGTTCTTTTTATTTGGTATATCTTTCGTCTCTCTTTTCCTGTGACTTCTCTATATGCATGTAAAATCATGCGTTGATATCCTGGGTACATCCTATAATAGGAATGAAAAGAATCAGCTTCTTTTGGGGATTCGCCATGCTACTCGACCACAAACTGTGATGCCGTCTTCTGTTTTGTCAAGCGATAGCATGCATATTGGACTTCTTGCAGCTGCGGCTCATGCAGCTTCAACTAATAGCTGTTTTACGGTTTTTTATAATCCAAGGTGGCAAAGAGTCCAGATATTTGTTTCCTTGCAATGCTTTTACTACCCCATCTGCTTATATGTTTATGATATCCAGGGCTAGTCCATCTGAGTTTGTCATACCCCTATCAAAATACATTAAAGCAGTATTTCACACACGTGTTTCAGTTGGGATGCGATTCCGGATGCTATTTGAGACTGAAGAGTCTAGTGTCAGAAGGTATTGTTATTCCTGGTCAAGTACAATATTCATATTGTTAACCTAATGATCACCCATGACATTTGTACAGTTTTTCTTGCAACCATAGAATAATTTATTGTTTGGTTATAACTTAGAGAATGAACAACCTACATTGATTTTGGCACTAAGTTCTCTCTCTAGAATTGAAACACCCAAAAGATCATTAATCATGATGCTTGGGCATTATTTCGAGATTGCATTGTATGGAGGGTTAGGTGGCATATTTGTGTATTTTACTGATACTGAATAAACTAGTTTAGAACAGAAAATGGACATTTGTTCCTTAATAGTGTTCACCAACTGATTTTTTTCTGTGTTGCATTGATATACTTAAATGTACACTATTGACATGCTCAATGTTTGGCTTGTCAAGGTACATGGGTACGATAACTGGCATAAGTGACCTGGATCCTGTTCGGTGGCCAAATTCTCATTGGCGATCTGTCAAGGTAATGATACATAATTTGTGCACTGTAGTTATACAATTGCATTTTCTTGTGATTTTATGCCCTGGACTCCTTTTATAATTCTATATAATGTAGTGGGTAAGAATTATATGTGTGAATGCTGTTTAATGAAAGATTAAGACCTCTGATAGGAAGAACAAATCTCCATCTACTTCCATATGTTTGTGCCTGGAATACAATGACACAACTTGTCTATGGGACCAATTTTTTTTTTTTTTACTAGTTTACTGAAATTTAGTTCAATCACAACTGAGCACATCAAAATTGAGTTTCTATCAGAAGACCAGATTGTATTTTTCATGGTTTCTTTTGTAAGTGTAAATTGTGCTAACCTCATCTCAGCTTGAAAGTTCAAGGACCTCCCTCATGCATTTGAGACGAATTCAAATATCTCAACATTCATCTGTATCAGTCCGCTCTGATTGTTAATCACAGCAAAATTCTACAAAGAATTATGCTATTTCAAAGCCATTATCAAGAGTTTTCACTTTTTCTTTCTTTTTTAAAAGCTCAAAATAGGCCCTTAAGCAGTCTCCATCTCTTTCACCACTAAATGGTCAATGTGATAACTAGTAAACAAAATATTTGATTTGGAAAATGAAATATGGAAGAAGAAATGAAAAGGTAGACAAAAAAGGAATTCAGATTTCACACCTTGAAAACCACCTAAACCCTTCTTCATAATCTTTTTCCACGTACTGTAATTTTTTACCCGTGCACTTTCTAGACTTGTACCAGGATTTACGAGTTTGGACCATTTTGTTTCTGCCTTACATAAAGTTTTGTTCTTAACAGTTTGTTCTTTTCTTTCTGTAGGTTGGTTGGGATGAGTCAACTTCAGGTGAGAGGCAGCCAAGGGTATCGTTATGGGAGATTGAGCCTTTGACAACTTTCCCCATGTATCCATCACTGTTTCCCCTTCGACTGAAACGTCCTTGGATTCCTGGGGCCTCATCTATGCATGGTAAAGTCTATGTTCAAATGTGGTTTTATTATTTGGTGCCTTTATCTTCTGAAAAATTCAATGCAATTTTCAATTTTTTCTTTCTTGCTTTTGGCATTTAGTTGATTAAATTTGATACACTTTTGTTTGATAGGCTAATTCTGAATTTCTGAGTGATATAGATGAGCTCTAGTAAATTTCTGCATGGAGAAGTGTAGGTTTGAAATTTGAAAATGGTCCAGTAAAATACTTTTCTTTGTGCATGATATAAGCTGTTTAATGTTGCTAATGTTATGGAGGGGCTTTTCTCCTCGGATCTACTTCATGCCATTCTAGTCTCTCTCTATGAGGCCAAAGTGATTGAGGAGAGGTCTTGAGTCAGTCAAATACGATTTTAGCACGAAACTGACTTAAGGAACACAAGATTGAGTGTTGAGCATGCATAAAGAAAAAGAGAGTTTACCTAGGTAAAGTCATAGAGGAAGGTTTAAGAAATTGAGTAATACTGAGAGAGACAATAAGACAGTTCCAAGGCTGTTGAGATTTGGACCCAAGTGGAGGATACATGACACTTGAATTAAACTTTTTGTTACATTTCTTCACTATTAGTTGCCAAAGGTATCATTTCCTGTATGCCTAAGAGCTTCTCCAAGGGTTGAGGTATAGTTTTGAGGCAGTGTACAAATCTTTAACAACCTAGGTGGCAGCGGTATAGGAAGGTTCAGGAAACATGACCCAGCTGACAATAGTACTCAGAGAGACAATAAGCCAGACCCCAGGGCTGTTGAGCATTGCACCCAAAAGGACACGTTAAGCAAAACCGCATTGCTAAATTCAGTTTTTCATTATTAGTTGCAAAAAGTAACATTTCCTTATGCCTTAGAGCATCTCCAAGGGGTGAGGTATAATTTTGAGGCAAAATTGAAGTTTAACAACCTAGTTGAAGTATAATAACATTTCACCAAGGGGCGCAGTGTAATACCATTTCTTCATTAGTTGTTGCAAAAAGTAACAATTCCTTTATTCCTCCCCATTTACCTTATCAATATTTTGCTCCCCAGCAAGTGATGAGGCAAGTAGAAACCATTATTATAAATTTGTGTGGATGGTGGAAAGTTGGAACATGTAGAGTCACGAAATATATTGTATACTGGAAACTAGGAACAAGTAGGAGCATGTAGAGTCACTAAATATTTCTTTTATTCCTACCTATTTACCTCATGCTTTTCAACAAGGTCTATTTGCCTTATGTGAGGGATGACGAGGTAAACTTACCTTATTACTAACCTAGTTCCTTGGAGACCCAAAATGGTGGCATGGCAAGGCAAACATGGTTTGCCTCATGGGATACCTAGCCCCTTTGGAGATGCTTTAAAGGACCTCTGTACTCTGATGAAAGAAAAAAGTGTTATTAGTGCAGTCTTCAGCCATAGGGGTATTGATTTCCATTTTTATCAGGCCTTGCATATTAGACTTAAAGCTCTGGTATATTATGGGGCTTTGGACCTTGTGAAATTCACTACAAAGTTCCTAAGTTGCTCTTGCCTTTTAAATTGTAATAATACTAATGTCATTGCCTTTAAATTGTTAATACTCATGTTAAGAATCGGTGAATCATTTATATACATCATATTGGTTTTATTTATTTCAACATAACATGCAAAAGGTTCTGTTTTCCAATGAGACAGCATGACCCATTTAAAATTCTACTTTCCATGCTTTCAGTCGAGAGAATGGCATTTGTATTGTTCTGGTCGAGACTCGAAATCATGGTATTTCATTGCATACTATATAGTTCACTATAAAGGCAGACGTAATGTTTCCTTTACCCACAAAAACTCGCTTCGTAGGGGCATTAGAAAGTCCAAATAGCTTAATTGTTCTTCTTCGTTCATTGTTACTGCAGATAATAGAGATGAAGCTAATAGCTTAATGTGGCTAAGGGGGGGAGCTGGGGAGCAAGGTCTTCAGTCAATGAACTTTCAAAATGTAGGTATGTTTCCATGGATGCAACAGAGATTGGATTCAACATTGATTGGAAATGATCACAATCAGCAGTACCAGTCCATGTTGGCTGCTGGTTTGCAGAATCTAGGAAGTGGGGATCAACTAAGACAACAGATGATGCACTTTCAGCAGCCTTTTCAGTATGTTCAGCAGCCGGGTAGCCACAATCCGATGCTGCAGTTACAACAGCAAGCAATTCAGCAGTCAATCCCTCATAATATCCTGCAGGGACAGCCACAAGTTTCAATGGAGAATATGCATCAGCAACTTCTCCAGCAACAATTTAACAATCAAACTGATGCGCAGGTGCAGCAACAGCAAAATGCCTATCAGGATGCACTCAAGGTTCAAAATGAACAGCTCCATCAGAGTCATGTGCCATCTCCATCATTTACAAAACCAGACTTCAGTGATTCAAGCACAAATTTCTCCACATCTACTCCTAGACAGAACGTGCTTGGTACACTCTGTCCTGAGGGGAGGGGGAATCTTTTGAGCATGTCCAGTGCTGGTCATTCAATGCCAACTGAGCAGTCACCTCAACAATCCTGGGATCCTAAGTATGCACATGGACAAGCCAATGCTTTTTCCAACTCAATGTCATTTCCACCATTTAATGGGAAAGACAACGCAGTTGAGCAAGAGAATTTAAATTCAGATACCCATAATCCTACTCTGTTTGGTGTTAATATTGAATCTTCTGGACTACTATTCCCAAACACTGTGCCCAGTTTTGCGACTTCGTCAAATGATGCTGACATTTCAATGCCTTTAGGGAACACAGGATTTCAGAGCTCTCTGTATGGTTGCATGCAAGACTCATCTGAGTTGTTGCACGGTGCAGGGCAAGTTGATCCACCAACCCCCAACAATTGTACATTTGTCAAGGTGTGAGCTGAAAGTAAATAGGTGTTTTTGCTTTTTCAATTTTGTTGCTTTCATCTATTGCTGGACAGATGATACTGTGTTGCTAGTGCAGGTTTATAAGTCAGGTTCGGTTGGCCGCTCAATTGACATCTCCCGGTTCAGCAGCTATCATGAGCTGCGAGAAGAGCTGGGACAGATGTTTGGAATTGAGGGGAAGTTGGAATATCGTCTTAGATCAGGCTGGCAGCTTGTATTCGTTGACAGGGAGGATGATGTGCTTCTCCTTGGAGACGATCCATGGGAGTAAGTTCTCGGATCATTTACATATTACTCTGTTTACCATTAGATTACCTGTATACTAATTTAATTCTTTTACTAGTTAAACTACTGGATATCGTATAGAAGAAAAAAAATGGAATATGGTTTACATTTTTGGGGAACAAGCAAATGTTATCATGGTATCAGAGTGAGGTTTTAAGTTGAATTATTGAGTGTTAAACGCGAATGCATGATACGAGGTGTTTTATTATTGAAAATAATATCGAAAAGGTGTTTTGACCCGTAAGGAATAGTTTCTTTAGTCTTCTCTTGAACATTTCCTTTTAGGCAGTTACTGAAGTCTATTTAACTATACATTATATGGGGGAGCAACAAGTAATAAGACATTTTTGAGGTCTCACTAATATATGAAATCATATTCAGGTCATTTGTGAACAATGTTTGGTATATCAAGATACTTTCTCCCGAGGATGTGCACAAAATGGGGCACCAAGCAGTTGAATCCTTTAGCCCAAATACGGGTCAAAGGTTGAACAGCAGTGGCTGTGAAGGGCAAGATATTGTTTCAGGGCCACCGTCTCTTGGCTCACTTGAATATTGAAACTTGTTGGTTGTGTGAAACCGTTCCACGTTCTGCTTCTAGTCCTCTTGGAGACACTTCCAGTTGAATGCATTAGCATGCGATACGAGGCTCAATCTGGTGTTCGGCGTGCATTTTCATCGGTATTGTATGGCTTATCTTTCAGAGACCGTTAAGCTCTGATGAAAAAGATGTTTATGGTTAAATATATTTGAAGTTTGGGAAAATCATTCAACGTTAAAGATTTGTAGCATTGTATCCTTAGAAGGATTTTTCTTGTTTCTAGCAGCCAATTTAGCATCCAGAAATTATTGATTATGAGGTGCACTTTTTGTGGGTGCAGCAGCATTATTCTTGCTCCACCATTTCTTAACGATTGTGTGATGCATGCATGCATGCATACATACATACATATATATATATATATATATATATATATATATATATATATATATATATATATATATATATCTGTGTGTGTGTGTGCGCGCGTGTGATATTATGAAGTGCACTTTTTGTGGGTGCAGCAGCATTATTCTAGATCTACCATTTCTTAACGATTATGTGATGCATGCATACATATATATTGATAGGATTTTTACCATCTACAAAAGTAGGGATAAAAACACCTAAAAATATTTTACAAGGTTGTCGTAGTATAGCGGCTCAAGCAAGGTCATTTTTCACAGGGATTGAATGAATAATTTGTATTTAAACTAATTCTTAGCTAATTATTTAGAACAAAGTTTCGAAAGGTTGATTTTGGAATTTAAAATAATAAAAAAGAATTTAAATAAAAATAATTAAATATTTGACAAAGTCAAAAAAGCAAACGAAAAATGTTTTGAAAACCAAATTGTAAAAGCCTAGGGTTCCCCTATCTCCCTAACAATCATATGCAATTTTACTAATTACATGCTTTGAAGGTTAGTTTTTTCTAATGCATACTTTCCTCGTGATGTTCAAGCGAAAACGTATATCTAACATACAACCCGTCTGTGATGTTCAGATCAAATATAAACATACAAGACTCATTAAGTTTTGTGAAAATCCTTTGAAAAACCAGGCAACCCATAAGAGCGTGATGTTCGCCTTAAGTGAACTTACAATTACTAATCACAAGAAGCCCTCCTCAAGGGTGATGTTCCAACAAAAATTGCATCAAATTACTTGTCTAAAAACTCTAATAGTGGCAAATTAGACAATTAGACAGTTTTAATCGTGGCGATTAATAATTCAAAGCAAGCATTCATCCATTCATAAGCAAATTAATAAAATCACATATTCATGCTAAGGCTCATGACTTCGCCCTAGCAAACGGAATTTAGTTACGAACAATCATAAAACAAAATATTATTGAGAATAAGGATAGAAAACACCTAGAAAATAAACTTGAAAAACTCTCTAAAGTGTGCGTGCATTTCCTCCTCTCCTTCCCTATTTCTTGCGTTCAAAAAACCCTAATGGCTAAAAAACCTTATTTATACTACTACAAAATAAAATCCTAAAATGTCTTAGAATAAAACTAGGAAACATAATAAAATAATAAAACAGCTAAAAAACCTTATTTATACTACTACAAAATAAAATCCTAAAATGTCTTAGAATAAAACTAGGAAACATAATAAAATAATAAAACAGAAAAGAAAATGTTTCCTATTTGAACTAAAATTTGAACTTCTCAGAAAATCAGACTTTTGACCGACCATATCAACAACAATTTGGTCCCAAAAGGTTTCTTTTGAAAGCTTAGGTCGTCCCCTACAAATCCTCAGAAGGAATCTTCCTCAAAATATGACATCTTGACCTCCAAAATACCCAAAACATTTAGAAACGTCAATCTGGGAAAACTGCACGCTGGGCCTTTATTTCATCGCCACGGTCAAACGGCTTGGTATAAAAATCTGAAACTTTGATACAATCATCTTGGAAAACTCACGAACATCCTCCAATTGGAATCATTCCAAAATTCATCCGTTTGATCACTTTTTGCTCCAGAGGAAGTTGAATGTCCTATATTGAAAATACATAACAAAGTATCAAAATTCTACCAAAATAACTAATATATTAATACTAAGATTAGAGTAAAATATATAGTATAATATCGACTCATATATATATGTGTGTGTAGACCTGTGTATGCGTCTTGCATGTGATAGAAGTTAAAAAATTTCTTTTAGTTGTAGTGTAATCCTATCATTCCAGGGAAGCCTCGCATTGGAGTTACATGTAAATGCTCGGAGGTACTGAGACCTGTACTTGTAAACAATTGAACCAAAAAGTTCACCAAGGTCCTTAGTCGAACGCGAACTCAAACATCCTCAAGGACTCATCAATTTGATCCATTGAGTTTGCATTGGCGCATGTAAGTTTGGTGGGGCGAGAAACTGAGACGACCTTAGGGTTTGAAGTTTATGTCAAGTAGGGTCGACCTCTTGGACTTCATCTTATTAAACAAAGGAAAAGACGATGTCTCATCCGATGTAAACGTCTCAAGTCTTCATCCGAGTATAGAAGATTGGGGACAAAGTAGGGCCAATCGCACATGTGAGGTTTATAAATTATATCAATTTGCGAGGGCTTGTGATTCCTTTTTGAACAAATTCACCACTTCCTCCATCCCCTGTACCCTTCAAGAGCAACTAATATGTAATGGGTTTTCAGTCATGTAGCGATGAACCACGCAAGTCCTCCTAGGTGTCTACACCTTTTTCTCTTGTTTATCCAGAAGCACTTAATAGCATGCATCTTGTAAACTTGTCATGACCACCACAATTTCTACCAGAAAGCGTTACAAGCATCAGAGAAAGATAGCATGCATCGGACAACTGTACAAAGAAAGATGCTTTGTTTGTTTGTTTGTTTTGTTCTTGTTGGAATTTAGGATTATTTTATTGATTGAATTTGAGCTTAGCCCATTAGTATTAGGATTTCATTTTCTTGCTTATTAGGATTATGTTAGTTTTCTATATATATGATGTCACGCCCCGAACCCAACATACGTCCAAGATCGACGCGTGACGTCACCCAACATCCGTATATCTAACAGATCCCGCCTCCGAGATATGTACAAGGCATAACTCAAGATCCAACTGCATAATAATTTTTCGTAAGCTTTATGGCTGCATCTAACCTCCTCATTAGACTGCCTACGTACCCTAAACAGAGATCAAGTCATTCGTAGTTCATCATTCACTACCCATCTACATTTACCACAGTACGTTCAAGCCAAAAGATATAACATTCTTCAATCAATCATTAGAACTTGACAAGTATGAAAGTACTAGATTCAGGGCTACATAACAATCCAATATGACAAACGACACAGTTCGGCCGAAGTCTATATCTCTGAAGCTATCTCAATCCAAATTCAATAAATCCCAAGATGAACACAATCCCAGACCATCTCTCAACAGAATCGCAAAGTAGGAAGGATTCCGGACCCTCTTAAAAGGATCCAAGTGGGTACGATTTCGGATCATCACTCAACAGAATCACGGAGTACAATGCATAATCACCACTAAATGAAACCCAAGTTAGATATGATTCCGGAACATCACTCAACAGAATCGGGGAGTATAAGGGATTCCGGATCATCTCTCAACGGAATCTGAGTAGATACGATTCCGGACCATCACTCAACGGAATCCAGACTAGGATACGATTCCGAACCATCACTCAACGGAATCGCTAAGTAGAATGTGTAACACCAATCAATGAAACAAGACATGGATCAAGTTCTTCAAGGTACAAAGACTCAACAAAACGAGAATGAATAATGACATGAGGGTTGAAGCATGTTTCGAAGTAACAAACCCCATAACAATGGGTTAATGGTCCATTACTAGCCCTCGCATTTCATCACATCAATCCAATCATACAATATAAACCATATTTCCAATATGCACGTCAAATCACACCATAAAACAACATCAATGGCTAAATATAAAAATTAACAATTTTATAGGAAACATAATTATAAAACCATCTCATATCCACACAGGATAGTAGTTATGAAAATAAGATAATCACCAATATCACATATTAGTCATTCACATTTCTCCACATTACACCAACAATTGAATTTTGGGAAACCAAGCTAGACATAAGTTCACAGGGTCACTAGAAGGTATTTGGTACTTAGACAACACTCGTGGACGGTCCCACGCACCACCCCACGCAATGGTAGCCATGGTGAAGGGTTTGAAAACCCGAATTTTCAACCTTAACCCAAGAGGCTCAAATTCACATGGTAACTAGAGCTCAACAAAGGAGACATTATTCACAACTAGACCAACGACAAATTCTAACCGGAATAATCCAAAATCTTCGGGGAAACCGGGTTTCTAGGGTTCTAAACACTCAACTCTAAAATGAATACGAAAGTACGAACCAAGCATACCAACTTGAAGATTATGTAGAGTAGATGAAGTTTCATACCTCACTTGAGGGAAATGGTTGCCGGAAAAATGACAAAACCGCCGGAAAACCCACGGGACTTTGCTGCTTCGAACTGGAAAAATGGATAAGAAAATGGAAAATCTAACATCACAGAGTTGTAGGGCTCGTCAAGAGCTTTCCATGAATACCAAGATCACCCAAAACAGAGATCGGATGAAGGAGATATGAGCAGATCAAGTTGGCGGGTTAATGGGTTGAAATCTCCCCAAAAACGGGTCAAAAAAAAAATCAGACCCCTCCCTTTTTTTTTTCATTGGCTGCTGTCTAATCCCTTTTTTTTTCCCTTCTTAGTCGGTCCCTTAACTCAAATATATGTTTTTTTTATGGGCCTTTTACTCATAAGTGGAAATTAAATAATTCCTACAAACTATAGTATCACAACTTCAAACGCTCGTAACTATACCGTTATAATTCGGACTCACAAACGATTTTCGCCTATGCGCTCGTAATTTCAAAATCTATTCGAATACGTTACTCGTGCCCTCGAAAGGTCAACAAATTTTAGATAAATACTTTCCAAAGAACTTCAAACTTTGTAACTAATTAATTAAAATATAAATCCAAATAAATTAATATAATTTCTCGAAAAATAATACAAAATCTCAATAATACAAATATGTAGATTATAACAGTGAAATCCAGGAACGGGATCACATATGATGCTTTGTAGCTCGTAGAATATCAAGTTAGTCACAATGTAGTCTCTTAGGGTTTTTTAGTCGTTTCATCATTCTCAGTTTGTTTAATAATATTCTTATTATTTTGTTTGTCTTGTTCGTTGCGCACTCTGATATTCAACTTGGTATCAGAGTAGGTTTGATCTTTCGGGATCTAATATGTTCTTGATAGGTATCCATGTTGTTTGTTTGATATTAGTTTTCAATATTAGTTTTCGAAAAAACAAATTGAATC